AATAAAATTAAATAATTATTGTATAAATTATAATTTAAAAGGGTGTTTATATAATTTTTTATTTATTTAAAAATAATATATTTTAAATATTTTGAATATTTTATTAAATTAGGGTAAATGCGATAGCGGTACCGCGTACTTGAACTTGAACCGCCTACAAATTAGTAAAGATACTATCCAAATCGCTAAAATCGGGATCGGGTTTAAACTATGTTATCCTACATGTGTTACATCACGAAAATTACTTTACCTTTATATTTTAGAAATAAACTTTTATATTTTTTCATACTTTTTGAGGTCCGATTATATTATATTGTTCCTTTGTTCAAATATTTATCATTTTAGGATCGCTTTAAATAACATAATAAAAAATGACAGAATTGACCTTTGAATTTCACCCTTAAAATGCCTAAAATCATTTTCTTCTACCTCATCAAGCAAATCCCAATCTCTTCCAACTAAAATATAAATTGTTTTTTAATTTTTCCAGAAATTAAAAGAAAAATCAGATAATTAAGTTAATTAATTTGTCTTCAACGATGCAAAGAAACACTGTCAAATCTACTTACGCTTCATCCAAATTTACTAAATTTTTTCTTTGAATAACTAGGTTTTTGGATACTACCACAGATAAGGGAAAGACACCATGGAAAATATCTCTGTGCTTCCACTGAATTTCAAGTTCCAACTATCTTTTTCTTTTGAATGACAAACTAGATTTTCCACCACGAAAAGATCTCTGTGCTTCACTGATTTCCCACTATCTTTTTCTTTGAAATGCAACACTAGATTTTTAATTGTCAGCAAATTAAAAAAATCTTCTTCTAATAAATTATATCTTATGATAAAATTTATTAAAATTTTTTGACGGTAGTGATTTGGTTTAAGAAGCAACAAACAATAGATATCGACGTCGGGATCTAAACTTGCCTTTCTGAACTTATTCGAAGTAAATTCAAATATCATTGTTGAGTTTTTTTAAACACAAGGTTTTTGTGACTTCAGATTTTAAAGATTTAGACGAATGCAAAAGTGAATTCCAGGTATATTTCAGATATGTATATGTTCATGGATAATCATATTTTTTTTTTTACTAAATTATCAATAAAAAGCCTGAATATTTTGAGAGTTTCGGTAAACTTTATCAAATTTATTTACTTTTGTTAATTACTATTTAAAAATTTCTTTTTCTTATTGTAATTACGGCATTTATCTAGAGCTCTATCGTTTATTTACTTATTTGAAATTTAAATTGACCTCAATAACACGGCGATACCTATCTAACATTCCATCGGTTGTTTGTTTATTTGGCTATCAATTGATTCCTATTTACACGGTCAGCTCACATTATGTGGTGTGACTATTCTTTGAGAGACAAGGTTTGATTACACGGGAAAGTATATACATGTGAGAATTGCAAAAATTTTTGTATCAATAAAGGTTGGCAAAATACATAAAAAAAATCATAAATTTTATGTAAAGGATAAGAATAACAATTAACTTTTTAAGAAATGCTTAGTGGAATAAGAAATGCTTAGTGAATAGTTAAGGAACATCACTCTTGCCGATCAAAGGAAATTAACACCATTTTGATTTTAAAAAAAATAATAATAAAAATTTAAATTTGTATATGTAATTATCTTTAAACATAGTGTATGCCACTCAAATCTAATCTTTTCGGATATGGTGGGAAGGGCAAATACATGTATGCCATCATCTTTCTTGTTTTGGCTATAGTGTGGTAGTAAATATATGTTGAGCTTTTGAACCATGTAAGTTATTGCCACTAATGAAGTGGGTCTTTCGTCATATCATTATAAAGCCGAGTCAGGTGTGCGCCTCACAACTCATAAATTCTGAGCAACACACACCTCAAATAACAGAGTGGTGCACCAATAATAGCTTAATCTTGCTACTCTTAGATTAATCAGAATAAGTGCTCATAACTATAGGTAATTAAACTTCAAAAAACCCTCTAAACATTAAATAAATGTAAACAAAAAATGAATAGAAGATTAACTAATAATATTGCAAGCCACTGCCTAACTCTATCGCCATTGAAATGTGTTACGAGAGCATAATTTGATTCAACTATTTTATATGGTTGTACTGAATCGTATCTAAGAATGAATTTTAGGCATATTAGGAAGCTTTTTTAACATTATCAATTGATAGTTTGATAATTGATAATTAAGTTTGTGATTCCATTAGCTAATGTTTTGGAAGTTTTTATTTTCATATGACTGCATAGTTGATTATGTATTTATAATTATATTTGAATGTTTTTATTAATAGCATGTAAAAAAATATTATTAAATTAAAAATAACTATAATATTTTATTAAAATAATATTTAAAAAATTAAACTATATTTGAATTTATATTATATAATAAAATAAGATTAATAGTATTACTTTAAAATTTTTAAAAGTACAAATAAATATACATTAAATAAAATAAGAATAATATATTTACTTTAAAATTTTAAAATATATATACATAATATATAAAAATAATCATAGCTTAAATTATCACTTTATATTTCAATAGAAATTGCTATCAAAATTTTATTAAACATCAATATGCATCGGCTAATCGCTATCAGCTATTAGTTGATATGAACAGCTAAATTAAACAATCTGTAAGATCTATATACCTCCACCAATATTGTATAATATCTTTTCTTTTATTTCTAAAAAGAGAAAAAGGAGGAAAAAGAGAACACTAGTCCTGGATGAGTCATTAGAGCTACACATGACCCGTTCTAATTTGACTTAAACCAACCCAACCTAACCTTGTAAGTTTGAAGATATAATGGATTGGGTTGGATGAGTCATCTTTATAATCTACAGCTTGGGTTGGATCACGGATTCATTAGATAAACCCGCAGATCTAACTCAACCCGTATGTACAATTATGTATTATTCGAGTTAATTATTTGTTTTGCAATTTTGGATATAAATATTAAATTGTTTACATATTTAGTGATTTTTAAATTATTGCTTTTTTCTTTAATATAAACTTATTTTGAATTTAATTCGAAAATTTAATTTTGGTTGTTATTTCGTATTGTTATTAAGAAATTTAATTTTAATATTATTATTGCAATATATTTAATTATATATAACTTCCAAAACAAAATGAAATAACTCGATGATATAATTCAAATTGATGGTTATCAAACAATAAGGGACAACTTTCCGCTTTGAATAACATTCACAAAATCGGTGATAATCTTTGTAATGGAGTATCTCTCACGCCCTGCATCTTTTACGAAAGATAGGAAGACCAATCAAATCAGATCGGACTGATTTACAATCAACTTCACATTTTTATCCTCATTTTTATAGTCATTGGAAGGACATAATTGTAAAAATATTCCCAAAGCAAACAAGGCTAGCTTTAGTCTCTAAACTTTGGATTGGATCAATTAATGTCCTAAATCAGACCTTGCTGAAGGTCTAAGCCCAGTCAACAAATTAGCTTATTATCCACTTAGTTGGACAAAAATGTTGGATCCAATTCAAACCACAATAACCTAAATATTCAAAAAAAAAAAAAAAAAAAAAAAAAATTAAAAAAAAAAAAAAAAAAAAAAAAAAACTTAATTGAGATATCGAATATTCAAATTTATGCATTAAGATTCTTTTACTATTGGAAATTTATGAAGATATATATAAATTATTTGAATTTCCACTACACTTAGCCATCAATTAATCATGAAAAAAAAATGTAAAGCTCAAAATTATACTTTCATCAATGTAAACTTTTGGTTAAATTTTTTAAAACCTTAATTATAATTTAAATCACATGATAATTGTGGTAAAAAAAAATAAATAATATGAAAATTGATGATGATTTTAAAATTATTATATCGTTATTAATGAAATCTTGAAATAAATAAAATTAACATATCAAGTTCTAGTCTTTTAATAAAATTCTATTTAATCAAATGTTCGATTAATTTTGAGAATAATTTAATATCATTTAATTTTTGTGGATATTAACCTAAAGGCATATTATGAAAAATAAGCAAAAATTATAATTTAATTTTATTAATTAAAATTTTTTAATTCATGTGTATGTGAAATCATGAAATGAATTATGAGAGGAAGGAAATATTATTTTATAATTAATTATTATCATTGTCTAATATAATCTAAATATGGACTTAAGTTAACTAAACATGGAAAGGACTTCCATTGGAAAGTGAAGACGCTATCCATAAATTAATCACGGCAAGTTAAAGACCGGTTCCTATCCTATCAGAGAAACCGTGTTGCGCCCAAACTTGACAAAGGCTCTTGCTCCACCTTATCCTACTCTAATTTTCTTATTTCTATCTTCAAATTTTTTTTTTCAAATCATAGTTATCCAAACTCTATTACCAGTACTGCGTAATCCGGTTTGGGGTTTAGTTACAGTTAAAGATATCTGCCCTTTCCTGCAGGACCATTTAGTGGCGATTGAAACTCTTCCCAAATGCCTAACCTGCGTTGACAGGCCACAATCCGTGTCTGTATTTCATTTTCACAGTTTTATATATATATTATACTATATATATATATATAATATTATATTATATATTTTTTTTTTTTTTTTTTTTGTTTGCTATGTAGGTGAAAGAAAATTTATGGTTTTTTTTTTGTTGTATGTAGTGAAAGAAAATTATGGTTTTACATCTGTATTTGTCATAAATCTGACTCTCATTAATCCAACTCTTATGAATAATGAAGAACAACTGATTCTTAAAATTAAAAATAATGACTCAATTTATCAATTAATCCTATTCTGATCTTTTTTTAAAAAAAATAAGTTTTATTCATTTTTTTCCGATCGGTCCAGCCTGTCGAATTTCTTCTCCTACGTATAAAGATACAGAGTTTTCTATGGAAGATACGCTAAATCAATGGAAGATGAAGTAGTCAGCCTCCCTTGTTGAATTGAAAAGTCATAGGTATCCAAAACGCTACTCTGTCAATTATCTGTCTATATATTGCCTTTCTTTTTCATTATTCTCACCACAAAAATCATTTGAAAAATATGAAGTTGTACACTTTTATCCTCTTCACTTTAGCTTCGTTCTTGGTTGAAACTTCAGCAGAACAATGTGGAAGACAAGCTAATAATGCTCAATGTCCAAACGGGTTATGTTGTAGCCAATTTGGTTGGTGTGGCAACACACCTGAGTACTGTGGTGCTGGTAATTGCCAAAGCCAGTGTCCTGGCAGCGGCAGTGGCGGTGGCTCAACCCCTACACCAACTCCTAGCGGTGGTGGTGGAGACGTTAGCAGCATAATTACTCCAGCTCTTTTCGATCAAATGCTTAAGTATCGAAATGACCCAAGATGCCAGAGTAATGGATTCTACACTTACAATGCTTTTATTTCTGCTGCAAGGTCCTTTAATGGCTTTGGCACATCTGGAGATCTTGATACGCGTAAAAGAGAGCTTGCCGCTTTCTTGGCTCAAACTTCTCATGAGACTACAGGTTAGTTAATGTACCCTGTACAATCTCTCCTTATTTTTTTCTTTGTTTTGGATATGTAGTCTATGATGCACCGAAAGTCCTGGCCATGGGAGCTGCCGAATCGTTTTTCCCTGTCTGTTTTCCTTATAAAATACCATTTTTCCGTATAAAATTATATTTTAAACGTCTTCATTTCTACTTTCGTAGAACATAGTTTGTGAGGATTGTTAATTTGGGTATGTTCACAGGAGGATGGCCAAGTGCACCAGATGGACCATATGCATGGGGATATTGCTTTGTTAGGGAAAATGATCGTCAAACTTATTGTTCATCAAGTGAATGGCCATGCCCTGCTGGTAGACAATACTATGGCCGAGGGCCAATTCAACTCACTCAGTGAGTTACAATTTTCTCTGTCTATAGTTTTTTTTTTAAGCGACAAAATTATACCACGGATTAGTTTTTTTTTTTTTTTTTTTTTTTTTTTTTATAATGTCATATAAAACCACCGATGTTCGAACGGATTATTTTTTTTTTTTTTTTTTTCTGTCTATAAACCACCGATGTTCGAAAGCCCATTAGATTCTAATTACGTTCAGTTTAAATATTGTTTGACCCATATAGTAGCAATTTTCATTTTTAAAACTCGGACTTGAGACCTTTATACTTTAGTTTAATCCATAGGTAAGACAATAAATTTGGTCTAAGTAAATATTTTTTATTACCTAATGCGGATTATTGTAACATATCTTAGAATGTGCATGTAGTTCTTATTTTTTAGAGCTTTCCTCTCCTTGTAAAACACAAATTCAGACAATGGTTGATTGTGACTGTTGACTGTTGACTTGTTGACTTTCTCAGCAACTACAACTATGGGCTAGCGGGTAGAGCTCTTAGGGAAGATCTAATAAACAATCCGGATTTGGTAGCAACCGACCCGGTGATATCATTTAAGACAGCCATATGGTTTTGGATGACCCCACAGGGAAACAAGCCATCAAGCCACAACGTTATCATTGGACAATGGACACCGTCTGATGCAGATAGGGCAGCTAATAGGGTCCCAGGCTACGGTGTGATCACCAACATAATCAACGGAGGACTTGAGTGCGGACAAGGTGCTAATGATAAGGTGGAAAGCAGAATTGGGTTTTACAGAAGATACAGTGGCATTTTGGGAGTGAGTACAGGGGGAAACCTGGATTGCTACAATCAAAGGCCTTTTGCTCCTTAAGGCATAACCTATTTTTGGATCCAAACATATTCCATATCCACTAATAATAAATGAGTAATTCTATCAATATCTTCTAATAAAAATATTATTTTTAATTGTTATTTTTTTTTTTAATTTTAATTACTTTTGTTATGGGCCATACGAGCAAATTGAATAAATAGAATTTTTATTTAATAGTTGTGATCTTACGAGTTTGTACATTGAATAGATGAATTTTACAAATTAAAGCGTATTAATTATTAATATATTTTTCATTTTTAATATTGCCAAACTTATATTCATCGAAATCTCAAAAATATTTGAATTAATGGTTGATGTTAATTAAGAGAACAAAAATTGTTTGTAATGTTTGAATTTTCTATTATTGTTATACAAGTACGTGATTGTTATTTCTCTTATCAATAATACTGTTTCTCTGTCACTACTAAATGAATAAATAAATGAATATTATTTTTTAATTGTTATTTTTTAATTTTTAATATGTGGCAGTTTTAGAGCCGTTTGATTTTAGTTCGATTTCAATTTAATGATTAAGTTAAATAACTTTTTTCAATTTTTTCTTAAAATTTTTGATTCTTTTAGTTTTGTATCATGAATAAATAAATAAATAAATAATAATGGTGATGCTAATAATAGTAATGAAAATTTTAAATGATTTTAGTAAAAAATCTTAACATTTATTTAAAAAAATTATAACAAAATAGAAAATAAATTGAAAGTTTCATTGATAGTTTTTAATTTAAATAATTTTTATTCTTTTCTTTTATAGTTTCGAACAACAGCCATTGGTTTCATTTATAAAAAACAAGGAACCGGAATTGAACCATAAGCATATGGTTATGCTATGGTCTATAATCTAGAACCATTGACCATGATTTTATTCCAAACCAAGGTATGCTTAGAAATAGAATAAATGTCAAGTAATTGTTATTTAGACTTGAATCCATAATAATTTATACATAATACAAATCTCATCTTAATTGCGAACTTTTTTTTTTTTTCCAATGAGATATGCTATATATTAACATAGGGGTGGCTAAAATTCGGTTTTCGGAACCAGAACCATCGGTTCCGAACTGATGGGAACCGCAATCAGAACCGGTGTGAACCGGAACCAGAACCGGTCTAAATCATTTTGGTTCTGGTTCCACCAATTTTGGAACCGTGAACCGGCGGTTCCAGCTTCAGTCGGAACCAACGGTTCTAATTCAATCTGAAACCGGCCGGAACCATTTAAAAATCGGTCGGAGAACCCGCCGGAACCGTCGATTTTGAAACCATTGAGAAACCGGAATTAAAACCGTTCAGTTCCAAACCGAACCGAAACCGTAACCTATATTGACAAACTTGTGGAGAGGCGAAGGGGAAGTCGAAAAAAACTTATTTATACCGAGTCATATAAATTTTTTTATCGAAACGAGGATAATCTAACCATACACTTGAAAAAAAAAAAGAGATAAAATAGAAATAATTTTTAAAAAATTCTTGATTTAGTTGCTTTGGTCCATGAATGGAGTCATGGACTCAGTCTAGGCAAATAATTTTCTTTAAAGTCTGCCTTTTTATATTTAATCTTAGCTTCGTTCCTACCCGACCGGACAACAACCTTATCACTCAAGATAGGCATCATTCATCATTTAATAATTGTGGGCAATTCAGAATAGACTGATATGAACAAGAAATTTCGTGGAAAACACACAATTTTTTCGATCTTTTAAAAGATTAAAGCTTATAGCTTTTTCTTCATTTCTTTCTTTCACTAGTGTATGCCTTTGTCAAATCAAAACATATGTAGCAAAAGAAAACAAAGAATCCTCAGGATTGTCTATTTTCAATAATAAATAATACTCTCTCTTTAAATAAAATTTGTTTCGTCTCAGAAGTAGCCAAGAAAGAAGAAGGAAACCACAGCTACAGTCATCAATGTAGGTCTATTCTCCCCTTTTGCAATTTTCAATTCTCGTACTTGGCTGTAGCAACTAAGTGAAGAATAAACTATGGTCCATTCACGTCAATGGTCATCCAACAAAACCGCGTGAGACCCACTGCTTGACCCTTTTTTGAATTGAATTTCAATTTTCTTTTTATTACCCTAATCATTCTTCTTTCAACTTTTCATTTCATATTTGTACACATATGTTTATATATATGGAGGCTTTTCATTGCTCTCTTGTCTTGTGCACTTATATGCCAACTTAATTTCATACTCAGAAGTTTATGTATCACCTTCAATGGAGTTTGGACAGCTTCCTGAAGTTTATGTATCACCTTCAATGGAGTTTGGACAGCTTCCTGGCTTCAGGTTCCATCCAACAGAAGAAGAGCTCTTGGATTTTTACCTTAAGAAGATGGTTTTAGGAAAACATTTTTGTTCTAATATCATTACTTTCTTGGACATATATCACCATGCACCTTCACCTTCAATGGAGTTTGGACAGCTTCCTGGCTTCAGGTTCCATCCAACAGAAGAAGAGCTCTTGGATTTTTACCTTAAGAAGATGGTTTTAGGAAAACATTTTTGTTCTAATATCATTACTTTCTTGGACATATATCACCATGCACCTTGGGATTTACCAGGTAATTCATTAAGGATTATATATATTCTTCGGTTTATTGCATTCATAGATATTCTTAAACTAGTTTACCCATCCATTCGGATTATATTATTCCATTTGTTTACAGCTATAAATGAGCTAAAACACTTGTATAGACTTATCTACACTCGGTGAATAGGCTCACCTATATGTCAAAAGAATCACAAATAATATTTTAATTCAAACGAGTGTCTTTCTGGTCATACAATAAAAAAAAAAAAGATAAAATAATATTTAAAAATTTTTTTTTTTTTTATTTAACTTGGTATATGAGACTACCCGTACATCAAATACAGACAAGTATTTTCTCCTAGCTATTTAAGGAGCTATTGATTTATTTAATTTAATTAAATTGAACTATTACTAATTAGTGCATATGACATTTTAATTATATCCTAATCTACTGCCATAAATACAATTATAGGGCTGGCAAAAACAGGGGAGAGAGAATGGTATTTCTTTGTCCCAAGAGAAAGGAAGAATGGGCATGGCGGAAGGCCCAGCAGAATTACTGCAACTGGTTATTGGAAGGCAACTGGGTCGGACCGGCCCATCCGGTGCTTGACGGATCCGAAAAGGTTATTGGGTCTTAGAAAGACTTTGGTTTTCTACACTGGGAGAGCACCAAAAGGCTGCAAAACTGATTGGGTCATGAATGAGTATAGATTGCCCACTGCCTGCTCCTTACCTAAGGTTTGAAAGATTAAAATTATACTCTTAAGTAAAGTTTTCTAAAATTAAAGATAAAAATGCTAAGCCATTCGGGTGATAATTTGATTGGTCTTCTTACTTATGTGAGAAGTGCGAAGTCTTGGGTTGGACTCCTCCCTCGACCACAGTTATTTCCACCAATTTAGTGAGTCAAATGAATGATTATTCGTGTTTTGTAGCCCTAAAAATTTAAGAGGAAAACCTTAAATACTAAAATAGTTATGATTACAAAATTCCTATAATTTTGATTTGTATTTCTTGCAATTTTTTTTTGTTAAAACGTGTTAGATTTTATTTTTTGTTTTAATTAATTTTAAAAAATTATTAAACATATATTTGCCCCTCTCAACATACAAACATATTTGGTGCAGGACATAGTGCTCTGCAAGATATACCGAAAGGCAACGCCATTGAGAGTGTTGGAGGAAAGGGCAGCCATGGAAGAGGTTATGGCATCCCAAATTACATCTTCATATCCTCTACTAGAAGAGGATGTTTATTCTTTCTATAACCAACAAATGAACTTTATGCAAGATTTTGTGGAGGAAGTAGAAGAAAAGTAAGTGGCAATACTAAAAGGAAGAGGAGGACATCAACTAAAATTTTGAAATTTAGTTTTCTTCTTCTTCTTCCCAAACAAGTCCACTTTCAAAATGGGTCATCAATCCTATGTTATGTCCATTAGTTGCACCTCTAATCATGGTAATTAGTAAGCAAGCAAACCAAGTGGCCAATAAAAGATTGATTTGCCTATGAGAACGAGCGAGGATTAATCGGGCTTACCGTGAACTATTAAAATAGACACGGGTCTGAACATCTCATGGAAATATCCAAAAAAATAAAAATAAAAATAAAGAGTTCATTAATTCTAATATAATTTCTGCTTTTGTCAATTAGTCATGTAATGCAATTTCCTCTCTCTCCCTCTTATAGAGTTTTTTTATGGTTAACTCTTGGCTTGTAGGAGTATGTCCTCAAAACTAGTTTTTGCCTCTAATTGTGTTTTGGAGTGTATGTTAATTAAGTATGATTTAGTTAGTGGTTACTCTCCTTGTCTAAGAGTATGTGAAAATTTTTTGCTTTTAGGATAAGTTTACAAATGTAAAATCTCTTCTTGAATAGAAGTTATATAACATAGTATTTAATTTTAGTTATCTATTTAAGATTTATTATTTTACATAAACATTTCAATTTATATAATTAAACTTATTAAAAAATTTAACTTGAATATTTTAATTTACAATATTAAATCAATTAAATAACTGTTAGATGGTTTACGGTTCATTTCAAAAATTGTGGTAACACACGTCAAATCAAAATTTTTGAGAAGAAGAACCCTAAAAATTTTAGTTCCAAAAGATATAAAAAATGGTATTTTAGGAGCACAATAAGTTTCCCTCGAAATTGAAAGTGTCACGAGATTTAAGTGAAAAAGCTTGAAGGCAAGTTTATGTAATATGGTCTTGATAGATAAGATCGGGTCGGTTGCTACAGCATCCGGGTCATCCGATATAAGTTTATTTCCTTTCCTGCTGGACTGTAGGTGAACTGTCAATAAAGACAAGACCATGTGATGCTTTAAAGGTAAGGTGATAGTTATAAATGCAGGAAAGAATTGGAATTTAGAAGGATAAAGAATGGCTTTTCATTGCATCAATGCAATTAATAAGAGTGACTTCGGATGATAATTTACTGGTTCTAAGCCCACTGTAGAAGCAAATTTGCAATATTTTCTTTAATGAAAACTATTATTTAAAAAAAAAAAATAAACAGAACAGTGATAATATAATGAGATATATTAGAACTTACAAATGAACTTCTATGGATACTTAATTACTGGAAAATAAGACAACTTAACAACAAAACAACACCACAACCTGTCGATACAAAAGAGATTATCAGTGTTTGAGCTGCCGATCGAAAATGTCAGAATGCTATTAATATGGTGGGAACAATGTCAAGCTACTGTCAATCTCCAAGTCAAAAATCCGTAACTCGTTTCTTCCTCTGAAACAAACATGATTCCCCTTCTGACCAAGCAGGTCATTTGCAAAACAATAGAAAGACGTATCATCACCAATGAATAACACAAAATCTCCTTGTTTAGCTTGTAAATGTTGCATAGAAGTGGATTATTGTCTTCATAAACAGGAAATATTTCATAAATATTTTCTATCAAGAATAAATCCACAACCAACTCTATCAAGTGAACATAAGCGGAAAGGTAATAAATGACCAATATCTGTAATCTGAAAATTCTTGGGATCAGTACTGTTATAGTCAATTCATTAACATCAACAGCATAGAATTACCCATCGGGAAAAATAATATCAGTAAATATACACTTCTCATTAACATCATTAATACGATGTTCATGACTAATATTAGTCCATTTTTCAACTCCAATTTTCCATATTTGTAGATTCACGTCCTGATCCAAGATAATCACTGCAAATCCATCTCCAATCTTATGAAAAGATGAAGAAACAACTCTTCCTTTATATAATTAATAACTACATTGTTTTTACCTTTGTCAGGAAACTCATTTAGTCCCTAAGAATTGCCAATCTCAGAAACTTTATAATCCAACATGTTGAAAAACTTTGGGCAACTCATCATAAACTCCATAGCAATAAACGTTGGATTCTTCCAATCCATGTGATGGGAATCGAGAGAGTAGGGTTCTAAGAACAAACTTACCAGATTTTAGCTCTTCAGCTTTAATAATCCAAGTCTTGGTGGGGTTAGCTAATTTAGAGGTTGGATAGAGTAAATTGTGGATTCAGTGAGGATAAGATGGACATGATCGACGTCAAACATATTCATATATTGATTGGGAACATTAGGTAAAGGGAGATGTAGAGACAGAGATTTTGGAGGAAGACGGATAGAAGAAGATCGCCATGAAGAGCAAACAGCGCGAAAGGAGAGTAGGTCTATGGGAGTGTCTAAGAGCTTGGAGATGGTGAATAAGAGTTCTGCTTGAAGGTTGGACCATTTAGGTAAGCGATGGGAATCCATTTCTAAATTAGCAGAAACAAGATTGTGCAGTTGTTATGTGAGGTGACACTTATATATAAATGCAGGGAGCAATTGGAATTTTAAACCACCGAGACTTTATTATCAGATACCAGTCTAATCCAGACTCGGAAGGCGTAATCATAGTTAAGATTCTTTGCTCCTCTCTGCAGGTGTGTTTAACATGGATTGAACCCGAGAGCTCTTCCTACATACCCAGCGTGCGTTGCCAATTAAGTCACAACCAGTAGATAAATAGTAATAATTTTCTTGAAACTCAAATATTTGGTAGATGAAGATTTCTTAACTAAATTTAAGATGAGAGAGATTTTAATATTAGTGAGATTCTTGACAGTTTCATTGTTGCATGCTGTATAAATTAATTAACCCTCGTTTATCTATCTAATTTATCTTGTTATCGGATCTTGAAACCTCACTTGATTGAGTAACAAATTCCATTTTTTCATAACCATTAACCATCTCATAAATTAAGAAAAAGAAAATTTCTATTTACCTTTGTATTTCTTTAAAATTTCCTGCATATAATCTTCAGGAGCCATCTAATATTCTATTTACCTTTAATATTTTCTGCACATATAAATTATTTCTAATGGCATATCAATGGTGAAGTTGTATTTAACATATAGAAAATTATAATAGAAAAATTATTATTTACATGTGCATCAGTGGAATCCAATTAGGGTTTCGTACCGATATTAGTATTTCCGATATTAGTATTTCCGCATGAAATCTAAAGATCAAGGTAAAAGTTATTGGAAACAAAAATAACTAAACAGTTCAGGAACTAAAAAATTATTTTTTGATTTCATTTAGGAGGTATGTAAACTTTGTGTATTGTCATTAAAAGCTGATTATAATTCAAGCTTATAACTTTTTAACTTTGAGATACATGGTCAACCAAACCTCTTCTCCGAAAGACCATTTTATCCCCACCCATTATTTATTACATATTAAGCATTATTTATATTTAAATTAAACATCTAGCAATGCTGACATGGCAGCAGTTTAACTAGAATTTCTATTGACCAAAAGGCCTTTGGTTATAGCAGTCCAAGTTATTGCCATAACCCACTTTGAAAATGTCACAGTATCTCTTATAGAATCCGATACGACCTTCCACTCGCGGGTTCGACCCTTTACCGCATTCGACACCACCGTTAATTATGTTGGTGATGACCCCATATCCGGGAACCCGACCCGCTTGTGTGTCTGAGGCAGATGGTTTCCATTGGCCAGTAATGACAGCGTGGCATGATGGTTTTGGTGACTGTGGGGTCATCCAGAACCAGAGAGCAGTCTTGAAAGATATGGTCGGGTCGGTTGCTACAGCATCCGGGTTGTTTAATAAGTCTACGCCTATTGCCCTTCCTGCTGGACCGTAGTTATAGTTGCTGCATAAGTCAAAGTCAATAGTCATGGATATATTTTTATATATATTTGATCCTTAATTTTAAACCTAATGATTAATTATTTGATTTGAATACAATAGTTTTTTTATACTTCCACAAATTATCTAGGCCGTGTCCGTTTTTAAGTTCGCGGTAAACCCAATTAATATTTACTTGCTTTTAAAGATAAAAGAGCTAACAAGGAGAAATTTGTATTACGAGGATCGAATTCTTAACTTAAATCATAGCTATCAACTCCGCAAGTGTTTTTTTCCACCCGAGTAATTGAATATAATAGTTAGTATGCTCAATTAAAAAACTCGAATAATAAATATTAACTACAAATAAAATAATAAATAATAAATTGAAATTGTTAGGACTATAAATAAAATAATATTAATATCAAATTCAAAATCATATAAACAAAATAATTTAGTTCTTAGACTCTATTTTCAGTATAGTAAATAGAAATTCATTACTACGTAATAAATATTAACTTGTGCAAAAGTTGGTTATGGACCTCCTATCCTAATCTATGAAAAGCATTTATGTGGTAAGAGAAGTAGAACTTACTAAGAAATTTGGATGGGACCTCGTCCATAGTACTTCTTACCAGGAGCACATGGCCATTGTTGATTTGCAACACAGTAATCTCCTGGGTTGCCTTGTTCTTGTTTGAAGCAATAACCCCAAGCATATGGACCATCTGGTGCACTAGCCCACCCACCTTCGCAAGTCCAAAACATGACAGAAAAACTTAGAGCATGACAGAAAAACTTACTACACTAACTCACTTGAGATGATGATAACAAGAGGAATATACATATTCCTGATGTTTGAAGTGAGTTATTCAAGAAAAGTGAATTATTTGTCAACTTGGAAATTAAGAATACGTAAAAACCTGTAGTTTCTTGTGAAGTTTGGCCCAGAAAAGCAGCAACCTCTCTTTTACGAGTGTCAAGATCACCCGTCGTACCGAAAGCTCCGAATGATTTAGCAGCAGCAATGAAAGCGTCGTAAGTGTAAAACCCTTTTGCAGGGCAATTACCATCGTTACGATGCTTTAACATTTCATTGAACGTTTCTCGGCTAATTAGCGAACTAACGTCAGCCAAGACTCCTGACATAGAGACAAAAGATAAAAGAATTGCTAATGCTCGCAACATCATTTCTGATTTTTGCTTTCTGTTGATGAGTAACTGGTTTTGGTTTGTTAATGAAACTGGGAAGCAAGTGTTAGGTGTTATTTATACAGAAGGGAAGGTGGGAATATTGATTGGGGAGACGTCTCAATCTAGTTTAAAGACTAGATAGTAATTCTCTCTCTAATTGATTACTCTAAGTAAAGGGGTTTGAATATTCAACTGCGAAAGGCATTAATTTAATTTATTTAATCCTTCTAAAAAATTAGTTTCGATGTCATCATTCACAATTCTTGCAAATTTGCATCATCCCTGTAGACTTTTGTACAAGATTAAGCGTGTTATCTTGTAAATTTATACTTCCTCCGTCCCAAATTACAAGTTTATTTTGAATATTTAAAAAAAATAGTAATAAATAATATATTTTTAATATTATTTTTATTTATATTAAATACAATGTATAACTATATTTATAAGTTACTTTTGATTTTTGAGTTAAAAGTTAATTTAATCAAATTATTCTTATATTTATTATAATTTAAAAGAATTAATTATTTTATTAATTTTATGCAAAAAAATCAAGACAACTAATTTTTCTATCTCTAATTAAAATAATATTTCAAAAAAAAAAAAAAAAAAATTATTATTTTTATTATATTAAATACAATGTATAACTATATTTATAATTTACTTTTGATTTTTTGATTGTTAAAATTTAATTTTAATCAAATTATTCTTATATTTATTATCATTTTATAAAAAGATTATTATTTTATTTAATTTTATTGCAAAAATCAAAGACAACTAATTTTTCTAATCTCTAATTTAAAATAATAATTTTCAAAAAAAAAAAAAAAAAAAAGGTAAATCGGCTGATGTTGATTTTATTTTATTGGGTGGTTCTACGGGAATAAAAAAAAAAAAAAAAAAGTAAAATCGCTGATGTGATTTTATTTTATTGGGTGGTTCTACGGAATTTCTCTCAAGATAAACAGTCAATGTCAAAGTTCAAATAGACCGCTAACTTTAATTGACCTCTTTTTGATAAGGTTGGGGGAGAAGTTAGGCATCAGAATCCCTTAGGTTCAAATTAAAATTTACTCTATTTTTGACAAATCAAAACCGCTTTAGAACCATCTATTCAAATAAATTAAATTCATTGAAACTAGCAATTGTAAATGCTGGTTCAAGTTCAAGGAGAAGACAGAAAATGCATCTTCAATTTTTTAAATTTCCAATCGAAAAAGGATAGTCAATTTTGTAATTATTTAAAATAAAGGTAGACAGATAATTTAATTATTTAAATTAATTTACAATTCTTAATTAAATATGGAAAGAAGATTTAAATTGAATAAATAATTAAATATGGAAAGTAAATTATTATTAATTATTCTATTTTGAATTATTAATCATATATAAAAAATCAATTTTGATTTATAATTATACAAAATCAAATATACAAAGATAATTATTTAATTTTTAATTCTTAATCAATTATTATAATGCCTTGAAACCATGTAACTTATTTTGTGTACTATATTTTGTTTAATTAATCAAGGAGTTCATAATTTTTAATAATGTTAGATTATCTATAAAAACTAATTTATAATATATAAATTATATTGATTTTTATGAAGAATTGTGAGTAGAATCAAATAAACCTTTGAATAAAAGAACAAGATTGTATTCGGTAATAACTTTTTAAGTAGCTTTTAAATTTTTGACTGGTCAAAACGCTAAACGCTACTTAAAAAGTTGTTCAGTATTATCTTGTATTTTTCTTAGTTAATTTAAATTTAGTAAAATATTAAAAAAAATTTATATTATCTTGTAGTTTAATTAAACTCATCCTAAATTCATGTGTATTTTTTTAAAATAACCCATATTATATATTTAGATAAAATATTCATTTGATTTTTTATTTAATTATATATAAGTAATCTTTGAATTAATTAAATTTTAATGTTAACTGGAATTAATCCTATCTATTCTAGATTGTTTTCAATAATTCTTATAAATATAATTTTTATATTATTTACTTACAGAAACTTTTAAATAAAGTTTATTTAATTCGAATCTTCTGAACTTATTTTAGAGATTATATTATATTAAGTGAAAGTCTATATATTATAAATTTTAAAATATAGGATTTATACATTGGAATTTATCTATTCTTTTCAATATATTTTTACAAATTTTCTAAATGAAATATTGACATGCATCACACACATATATATATTATAATAAAATTAATAAAATTGGATATTAGAGGTATATATGTAAACGTGTGATGATATTGGAGGTCTCTAACAATACAGAATTTAATAAAATTAGGTTGTAAATAATTTTTCCATGTTCATTTTTCCAACTTGTTTTATAAGTTTGACAAATTTCACATTTCTTTTCTCAACTTTACATTATAATTACTAAATAAACATCATTTTTTTTCTGATTAACAAAATATTTTGCTATCATTTCTGTTTTTAGTGTAAACTATCGGTATGCGTTTGTCCATGTTCATTTTTCCAACTTGTTTTATAAGTTTGACAAATTTCACATTTCTTTTCTCAACTTTACATTATAATTACTAAATAAACATCATTTTTTTTCTGATTAACAAAATATTTTGCTATCATTTCTGTTTTTAGTGTAAACTATCGGTATGCGTTTGTCCATGTTCATTTTTCCAACTTGTTTTATAAGTTTGACAAATTTCACATTTCTTTTCTCAACTTTACATTATAATTACTAAATAAACATCATTTTTTTTCTGATTAACAAAATATTTTGCTATCATTTCTGTTTTTAGTGTAAACTATCGGTATGCGTTTGTCCATGTTCATTTTTCCAACTTGTTTTATAAGTTTGACAAATTTCACATTTCTTTTCTCAACTTTACATTATAATTACTAAATAAACATCATTTTTTTTCTGATTAACAAAATATTTTGCTATCATTTCTGTTTTTAGTGTAAACTATCGGTATGCGTTTGTCCATGTTCATTTTTCCAACTTGTTTTATAAGTTTGACAAATTTCACATTTCTTTTCTCAACTTTACATTATAATTACTAAATAAACATCATTTTTTTTCTGATTAACAAAATATTTTGCTATCATTTCTGTTTTTAGTGTAAACTATCGGTATGCGTTTGTCCATGTTCATTTTTCCAACTTGTTTTATAACAAAATATTTTGCTATCATTTCTGTTTTTAGTGTAAACTATCGGTATGCGTTTGTCCATGTTCATTTTTCCAACTTGTTTTATAAGTTTGACAAATTTCACATTTCTTTTCTCAACTTTACATTATAATTACTAAATAAACATCATTTTTTTTCTGATTAACAAAATATTTTGCTATCATTTCTGTTTTTAGTGTAAACTATCGGTATGCGTTTGTCCATGTTCATTTTTCCAACTTGTTTTATAAGTTTGACAAATTTCACATTTCTTTTCTCAACTTTTACATTATACTTACTAAATAAGCATCGTTTATTCTTTTTTTGGTGTAAACTGTCGGTATGCGGACCCTATTATCAGGGACTAATTAAATCCGGCTTGAGGCTTAGTCAAAGTTAACACTATTCGCTTCTTTCTGCAGGTGTGTTTAGTGGAGATTGAATCCAAGAACTCTTTCCATATATCCAACCTGCATTTTCAACTGAGTTACAGCTCGTAGGTTATTTCTTTTTCTTTTTTTTGTAAAACAAATAAAGTGAAAGTGATATATATAAAAAGACTGAAATTAAAATAAAAGTTGAGAGTGATATACGCATACAATATAAAAGAAATTCAATTAAAAATATTATATGCTATTAATTTATTTAATAAATTTTTACACCATGTTTAATGGATTGTTTTCTTAATTTCTTCTTTCTTTTTCTCCCTTGCTTTTGATTATTTTATTCATTAAAGACTTACAATAAGTCTTTAAAAATTGGAAATTTACACCTTTAAACAAAGCAATTAAATTGTTGTAATTTTTGTTATTATTAACATTCTAATAATTAAGTTTAATGCTTGAATTTTCAGTTAATTATAAAAATAAAAAGAACATTTCCTTTTTGAGATCCTTATCAAAGTTGTATTGATAAAATTGGTTTATGAGATTTGCACCTTGTAAAGAATTTTCAACATAAAATGCAACTAATAAAGTGGCTGACCTAAAAATTGCTGAAATTTTATCAGTTAAATATGATTATTTAAATAGTAGCTAACCTAAAAAAATATATATATATTTTTACTCTGATATTTATATATTTTTTTTTTCGATAAAAGGAGAGCAAAGCTCAAGAAATTACAAGTAAAATCTAGAGTGAGCTGCATGTATTTTATGGTCTTGATTTGATTCAAACCGAACCAAACCGACAGTTTGCTCAGTCCTAATCACAAGTACAAATTATTAACATTAAACTTTCTTCAGTGAGCTGTAATGAAATGGAAAGTAATATAGTTATTTGTATTTTTAATACAAATACTTCATTAGAGGTGGATTTAATTATATTAATTATATTACATTATATTCCTTTACTATTTAACAAATGGGATATAAGTGTATATATCTTATTCAATGAATTAATTTCTATTCAATGATATTGTTATCATTTATTACTGAAATTCCAAATGTGAGGAAAAAATTCCACATTGAAAATGTATGAACATAGTAAGTGACATGTAAGTGAATGAAGGCTCATAACCCATTCTTTAAGATTTTAAGTTAAAATTACAAGACTTATGAATTTTTTTGTGTAAACTATTGGTATTCGGACTCTGTCACCAAATACCGTCAAATTCGGCTCGGGACTTAGTCACAGTTAAAACTCCTCAATCCTCCCTGTAAATGTGTTTACTGGGAATAAAACCCGAGAACTCTTTCTACAAGTCCAATTTGTATTGTCAATGAGTCACAACCCATAGATATAAGACTTAGAATTTGAAAATTTGACATCAGATTGGGTTTATGGATGAATCGATATGAGTTAGAGCAGATCTTTAATGTTAAATTTTTCCTAAGTATGATTTGTTTCAAAAAGATTGATAGAATTTTCAAATCTAACATTAAATTTAACAATATTATAAGTTAATAAAACTAAGAAATATATCCTACTAAAAAAAACAAGAAATTTATATATAAGCTAGTAAATTTCAATATTTGACATTAATTTTATATTTAGTTGAAACATAAAAAATTATGAATTCTTTATTAATTTTACCAAAAATTAATTTTAAACCGGAACAAAGACTAATTAGACCCTTCAACCTGTTTTGAGGGGTCAAAAGGTTTACCCCTCAAATTGTTTAAAGGGATTAAAATGGTCATACTTGACATTTTGGGTCAATTTAATCCCATAAACTTGCTTAAAATGATTAAATTTAGCTTTAAGTATTTGCTAGGCTTGTAATATTGGAACTTTGTATAGAAATTTTTTAAAACTATTGCTGGGATTGAACTATATAATTTATTAAAAAATAATCAAAATTAACTGATAATCTTTAGTTCAAAAACATATCTTAATTTGAATAGTTTTTTTTTTTTTACCGAGTTTATTCCATATGAAATCCAAAATTCTCATGGAACATATTAAAGTTGTAATACATATTTTGTGAATTTCCTATGCATCGGAAGAAATAATACTTTTATGAAATTTAAAATTGTATTTAAAAGTGTTGAAAAAGTTTGATATAAGTATCTTTTGTGTAGAACAAGAAGAAATACAAGTCATCTTATTGAATTGAATCAATTAATCGATTTGCAAAAGTTAAAATAAGTTTAGGAGATAAATTTAAAGTGTCATAGTTGATTTTTTTTTAATCATTTTAAATAAAATTAGGACTAAATTAGACTAAAATGTGATTTTTGTCTTTTTAAACAAGTTCAATTGACCTTTATTCCTTTTTGAAACCCCTAACCATCAACCTTTCGCCTTTGGCTAGTGGAGGTTAGCATCAATGCGGCGTCGTTGTAATTCTACATCCTCTCCAACTCTGTAAAACCCTAATCGAGCAATCACGAGCCAAAACCCTCGACGAAGAAGGAGAAGCAGACATGGGGAAAGTCCCACCTTCATTACGTTCAGCTATTTCAACATCACTAGTAAAAAAGCCTGCTCCAATCCCCTCAGAATTCTCATCTCCTTCCGATAAAACCCATTACTTTCCCAAGAAAAAACCTTCTCAACTTTCCAAGAAAATCCAAGTTCCAGCCTCTCCGACAACCCAGCAACGAAAGCCTCTTTTCAAGTCTCCAGAACTCAATGAAGCCAAGAAACTTTTTAGTTCCTTTATTTCCACCACTCAAACTCCTCTCAACAACCGCATCCACAATTCTTTCCTCCAATCCTATGCTTCAATCTCCACCGTTGATAACTCCATTGCTCTCCTCCACCACATGACCAAAACTCTTCCTTCTTTTACACCTGATCGATCCACTTACCATATTTTAGTGTCCCAGTCCTGCAAAACACCTGATGCTTCTCTCTCCTCTGTTCACCAGACTCTCAATCTAATGGTCAATAATGGGTTTAACCCCAATCGAGTAACCGTTGATATTGCTGTGCGATCTTTATGTTCCGTTGGCAAAGAGGATGATGCTATTGAATTGGTAAAGGAATTATCTTTAAAGCATTCAAAGCCCGATACTTTCACTTATAATTTTCTTGTCAAGTGTTTGTGTAAGTGCAAGGCACTGACTACTGTTTATAGATTTATTGACGAACTGAGAAGTGCTTTTGATATCAAACCTGATCTTGTTACTTATACTATATTGATTGATAATGTTTGCAATTCTAAGAATCTTCGTGAAGCTACAAGATTGGTTAGTGTATTAAAAGAATGTGGATTTAAGCCTGATTGCTTTGTTTATAATACAATTATGAAGGGTTATTGTATGTTAAGTAAAGGGAGTGAGGCTATTGAGGTTTATAAGAAAATGAAAGAGGAAGGAGTGGAGCCTGATCTTGTTACTTATAATACAATGATTTTTGGGTTATCGAAATCTGGGAGAGTGAGTGAAGCTAAGAAGTATTTGAAAATTATGGTGGAATCGGGTCATTTTCCTGATGCAGTTACTTACACGTCATTGATGAATGGATTGTGTAGAAAAGGGGATGCGTTGGGTGCATTGGCATTGCTAGAGGAGATGGAAATGAAAGGGTGTAGTCCAAATTCGTGCACATATAATACTTTGCTTCATGGGTTGTGCAAGGGAAGATTGTTGGAGAAAGGCGTTGAATTGTATCAGCTGATGAAAGAAGGTGATATGAAGCTCGAAACAGCTTCTTATGCAACGTTTGTTAGGGCACTTTGTAGGGAGGGTAAGGTTGCAGAGGCTTATGAGGTTTTTGATTATGCAGTAGAGAGTAAGAGTCTAACTGATGTTGCTGCTTACACAACATTGGAAAGTACACTTAAGTGGCTGAAGAAAGCCAGAGAGCAAGGGCTTGCTGTTTAACTGGTATGTTCATTTTTACATTATTAGTTAACTTTGCGACAACAGTTCATGTTATTTTCCTCTATCTTGATTCTGGTAATTAATTAATCTCAGACTAACTTAATTCATATGTTTGGAAAATTGGCCAGTTAATCCTAACTATGCTGAAGTTGAACCTCTGTCCTGCCTTTGCTTGTTAGTTGAAAATTTTTGATCTCATTAACGTTTCTGGAATGACTAGGAGGATAAATAACACAGTTTATTAGTTATATTATTTTGATGTTGATACGAAAGAAAGACAACATCAGAAACTGTAATGTTATACAAATGTACAGAGGATAAACTTTTAGTTAGTCTATCCAGTAATTAGGCAAATTCCATTTAGACAAATATATCAAGGGCCAGATCGATGTGTGGATCAAACTTCTTGTTTTTATAGATCCTTTGCACTTGTTGGGATAGCTTGAGTAAAAAATATATTATGTGCAAAGCACTTGCTTGGAAATTAAACCAGTTGACTTTTGTTGTCATTTGGTTCTCTAGTTAATTTTTTAAATGATATGTTCTACTTGCATTACCTGATTACCTTTTTCTGATAATCAGTAACGGTTGCTACAGTTTTATGTTGATCGGGTCTTATACATAGGTCTTTACTGCTGATCAAACATAGTTCGTTTAATTCTAGCTCGGTGCTTCTCTACAATTTGTCCACTCAAACTGAGATATCTTGTCATCTAAACTTATTTTTTTATGAATAAATTTTGCAGTGTCATCCAAATTCTGTGTTGTTGTTGTACATCTTGTATTCCCTTTTTACATTAGTGAGAATTTCTAACGGTTAAAATTTTAGGATTTGGTCACTTTCCACTCTTTGCCTTTGATTTTTGTACCTTTAACGCTAGAAAATAATCATAATTTTGAACCTGGATAGATGTTTTGAATCTAGAAAATAATAATTATCTACCTTTAACGCTAGATAATTTAATTTAATTTAATTCATTTTAGCGGCTTTTGAACCTGGATAGATGTTTCTAGTTTGCTAGATGCTTTCTACTTAGCCACCATGGCTGCTCTGTGTTGGTAGCAAAAGCTTCCATTTTAATGCCCCACGGTTTTGACGCTGACATGACTCTATATGTACTGCTGCCATTTTTTTTTTTTTTTTTTTTTTTGGAACCTGGATAGAATGTTTCTAGTTTGCTAGAGATTGCTTTCTACTTAGCCACCATGCGCTTTGCTCTGTGTTGGTAGCAAAAGCTATCCCATTTTCAATGGCACCCACGAGTTTTGAGCGCTCTGACACTGACATGACTCGTAGTATGTACTGCTTTGCCCATTTTTTTTTTTTTTTTTTTTTTGTGCGTTTGTGTATTGAAATCTTATGAAAAATATTATACCCTGTTTATTGCCTAGTTCTACGGGTGGCTAACAGATGATGGAAGTTCATTATCATAGAGTGACTGTATATAGTACTCCTTGAAGCCTTCCTTGCATTTAACGTTGTGCTTGATGGTGGGAGAGAGATTTTGGCTGCCTTCATGGGAAGGATTCTGTCAAGCAAAGCTGCAAAAAGTGAATTTGGAAATTTGTCTTTTAAAAGCCACCTGTACTGCAGGAGTTGAGAGTTACCTGCATGTAACTGGAGCATGTCTTTTTTTTTTTTTTTTTTTTTTGTGCGTTTGTGTATTGAACATCTTATTGAAAAATATATACCCTGTTATTGCTAGTTCTACTGGGGCTAAAGATGATGGAAGTTATTATATAAGTGATGTATATAGTACTCCTTGAAGCTTCCTTGGCATTTAAAGTTGTGCTTGATGTGGAGAGAGATTTTGGCTGCCATTCATGGAAGATCTGTAGAAGCTGCAAAAGTGAATTTGGAAATTTGTCTTTGAAAAGACCTGTACTGCAGAGTTGGAGTTACCTGCATTACTGAGCATCACATTGACATCATTGGTTTCTCCTATTTATTGTTGATTAGTCTATATGAAATGACAGGTTGCATCATCCAGTTTTGTTAGAATTACATTCACATTTTATTCGGAATGCAATTCTTGTTCTCATATTATTGGGAAAATAAAGAAATAAAAATGTGATAAAGCAATAGTAAACAATGGCATGGAGAATTGATGCCAAGAAGATGTTTGAACATGTATTTAAGTACATTCAAAAAACAGTTGTAATGTTTCAACTAGTATTCCTTTTTCATTATCCTTGCTTTCAGTTGATCATTTAAAGGTAGCATCATGTGAAATTGTAGGTGAAAAATTTGTCAAATTGGGGACAGTTAACCAAATGGGTTTATCTTAATTCATTTATCCATATGTAATTGTTGGTGGGAGGTTCATCATCTAAGGCTCTAAACCCATCTTTGAAATTTAAAATAAAGAGCAAATAGATAGAGATGTATCGATTAGTATCTCATGTTTTGGGTTGTTGTGGTGCAGGATATTCATAATTATGATAGTTTGTTATGACAATGGGGATTCGTCAATGATTTGACAGCCTTGAATGTGGATAGTTTAGTCTAAGCATTCTTAACATGCTGTAATAGTTTAATTTTCTCTTGACTGGCTATATGGAATATTTATTCAACTGCTGTCTCTGAAAAGTTTTCGCACCCTCGGTGCCAAATGTCAACAAACATTTGACAATTGAAAATGGCTCTAGACCTTTTTATGTTGCTAGTTTGTCAAGGGAATAGCCAGACAATACATATAGCAGCCTACCAAAGAAACAGAAAAATATTTGAGCAGTAAAACTAGAATTGTCTTCATAGGATTTGTATAATTAATAAGTTCTAATGCATAAATTTGATCATTTTGAGCTATTATTTTTATGACTTTCAAAATTACATGGGAAATTTATTATAACCCTGTATTTTTATTTTCAGTAATATCTATTAATTTTACACTTTTATATTTCAATAATATCGAGTGTGTGGCGGAGTAAATAGGGCATGTGATACAAATATGGGCAAGCCTTTCTAACTAACAGCTTGCCTTCTTACCCTGACATGATATTGTTTTGTTTGTCGGAAGAAAATTAAAAAGAAAAGGAAAAATCCTTATTGTTGTCTTCTTGTCTCTCCATATCCCACATGAAATTCTTTGCCACGATACCAGTCCCCATGTGGTACACATTATTTCTACGGAATTCAGTGCCCGTATAATGGATTTGGAAATGTTTTTACTTTATATACACATGACTATAGGTTGTGAATGACTCCTGTTGAACGTGAATTGCTCGAGACTCGGTTTGAAAAAAATTCATACAAACTCATTTGATAAGTTTAATAAATTGAGTTTAAATTTATTTATCAAATTCATTTAATAAATCTGTTAACCTGAGGTTAGGGATAAGTATTCGATTAACCAAATTGAATTGGCTCGGTTTTATTTATCCGAATATGTTTTTATGGCATCTAAATCCCAAACTAAATGGTACAATAATCGATCCAAATGGAATTAAATCGGTTTGGTTCAATTTAGATTCAATTATTTCAAACTTAATTCAATCAGTTATATATAGTAACCAAATAAAAAACTAAACAGTTTTATATATTCAAATCGATCGGTAATCGAATTTTTAGAATAACTATCCAAATTTGACCAATTGAAAAAGTTTGGTTCGATTCTTAATTAGAAATAGAGAATTTCTCACCTTTATATGGGGCTGAGTATGTGAAAATTGAAGATATATTTTTTTTTCTTTTTTTTTTTAATTATAAATTATAAACGTGTCGAATTCGAGTTTGATTCTTCAAACTCGACTCGAGTTTAAACCCAACTCTCAAATCAAGGTTGAATTATATGAATCGACTACTTTACATCTAACGATAACTAATCCTTATACCATCATATAAAGTTTTCAGTATACATGTAAGGATGTAATTGAATAAAAATTTATTATGATTTATCAAATATAATATAATGCAAACTGTTGACCTATTTTGTTGTCCTTATTACTCCTTTTTCTCTAATATATTCTATACCTTTCTCTTAAATTAAACAGTTATTCAATGCCAGCCTTTTCTGTTCATAACCCAATTACAAGAACATGCATGATTGAATCTTTGATAAAGACAAAGGGCACAAATGATTAGGGAGGCAAAACGGCAAACGACCTTCACTTTCTAGTGTGGTTTGTTCACAATTTCACAACGACAATTCTAAATATTAAATAAAAATGCCCATCTCATTGCTTAAATATTGTTGGCTAAAGCCATTACAAGATCTTACAAAACTCCCTGACCCACATTTCCTTCACATGCCTAGCTCCTCCTTCCATTCATATAAATAGAATCAGAAATTAATCATAGCCATTCAAATCACCAATTCCAAAATTTGAGTGTTATATTCATCATTAAGCTAAATTAGGGTTTTCTAGTTTTCTTGCAATGGATTCTTCGCACGTTCCTGTTAGGTCAATTAGCTTGCCTTCTAGGTTACACCCAAGCTCTCTCAAAATTGAAGCAGAACTAACCAAGCTAAAATCTTGGGAATTATTATCTTCTTCTTCTACTACTACTACAAGTCGTTTAGGAGGTGAGACTATTCAAATAGCATTGACCAAGCTTGCAGAGTTGTTTATTTGCATTGAAGAACTCACTAACTCTCCTCAAAGCAAAAAAGCTCTTCACCATCAAAATTTAAACCAAGTTGAGCAAGTTCTTGAAGGCTCGGTCGGGTTAATAGATGTTTGTAGTACTTCAAGAGACATGTTCTTGGCAATGCAAGAACATGTTCGAGACTTGCAATCCGTGCTGCGAAGGAAAGGTAAAGATTTGAGCATTGAGAGTAATATGCAAGATTATATTAGTTTCAGAAAAAGTGCAAAGAAAGAAGTTTCTAAGTTGCTTTCAACCTTGAAGAAATTGGAAAATAATGACTTACCCTCTTCCATTCCAAAGGAAGACAATCACTTATCGTATTTGGTTAAAATGATTAGAGAAGTTCAAGCTATTGCAATTGTCATCTTTCGATTTGTAATTTTGTTCTTGTCTCCACATTCGATGAAGACAAGTTCTAGTGGATGGTCAATGGTATCAAAATTGGTACATTTAGGGTTTGTTGATTCTGATAAAGGTGAAAAAATATTCAATGAAGTGGGGAGAGTTGATATTTCTCTTTGTTCTATTCTTGGAAAGATCAAGAAAAATACTGATGCCAAGTTTGATTTGCAAGAAATGCAAGAGAAGTTAGAGATTCTTGCTATTAGCATCCAAGATCTTGAAGATAAACTAGATTGTGTGTTTAGATGCCTAATACAAAATAGAGTGTCTCTTCTTAATCTTGTAACCCCTTGAAAAATACCTTTTTTTGGTTTTTTTTTTTTTTTTTTTTTTTTTTTTTTTTTTTTTTTTTTTTTGTGTTCTCCTCTTAATCCTTGTAACCCCTTGGAGAATACCTTTTTTTTGGTTTTTTTTTAATATTTTTTTTTTTTTCTTTTTTTTTTTGTTTTTGATAAATATCTATATTGGAGAGAAGAATATAAATAAAATATACCTCTTGCTCCCTTATTGCCAAAAACATTTTCTTTCTATGAACTACTCCTTCTAGTTATCGAAATAAAGTAATTATTTATACTTTTTAAGAGCTCGACGCCTTAGACTACAGGAATATATATGATTTAGTCATGTAAATGTCACCAATTATTTTTTATCTTTTGTAAAATATTCTAATTTCGCCCTTTAATTTAACTTAAGAGAGTAAATTGTAACGCGGTACAATATTATATATCTGAGATAGAATATTAAATAAATAAATGATATATTTAGAAAAGCAATTTCTATGTGATCTTATTCAATAAATTTATATAAACCCTAAAATACCTTATTTTAAAAATGAAGAGAGCTAAAAGAACGACACTTATTTTTTTAGAAATGAGAGGTTAATACCACTTTGCGACCCTATAATCTTTTATATTCGATGACAGAACTTTTTTTTTTTTTTTTTTTTTTTTTTTTTTTTTTTTTTTGTTTTGTAAATCAATTGTAGAGAATGAATATAAATAAATATATGCCTTGGTTATTGCCAAAATCATTTTCTTATGAACTACTCCTTCTGTTTCGAAATAAGTATTAGTATCTTTTAGCTCGACGCATAGACTAAGGAATATAATTGATAGTCTGTATGTTACAAAAATTACTTTGTAAAATATCTATTTCGCCCTTTAATTAAATTAAGAGAGTAATTGAAGGAAAATTATATTCTGAGTAGAATACTAAATAAATAATGATAGATTAGAAAAGAAAAATTAATGGAGCCTTCAAATTATAAAAACAATACCTTATTTTAAAATGAAAAAGGTAAAAGAACGACACTTATTTTGAAATGGAGAGAATACCACTTTGGTATATCTTTTATATTGATTGAAAGAACGATATATTAATACTTTAAAATGTATTTAAGATAATTGAAACTTATAATTGGCTCGATATAACATTTAATTATATACTGTGAATAAAATATTAATTTAATTGTTATAATAAAGTCCTGAGGAGGCATTTTAAAGTGAGCAGTCTGAGTTCAAATGCATAGTAAAGCCAAATTAATAATTTTTTTCAATAAAAGGATAAAAACATCATACTAACATTGCATATAAATTATAATAAAAAATAATTTTTTTTCCATTTTTATTAGGTTATTCAAAATGTATACTGTCTTTGAAGCGCTTAAATGTTTTATATCTCAATAATTTAATAAAGGAAAATGCTCATGAAAAGCATAATTGAAGCAAAGGTAAAATCTTCCAAGGATATGATAAAAGTGTAATTAATTTCGAATTTCTACCATTGCATTTACTAATTCGAAAATGGTAAGTCTTTGATGATTGAATCTGTAAATGATATCTTTGTGTCTGCCAGAAATGGTAACGGTGGATAACTATTTCACTACCATAACTTGCATATTTCATTGCCTGCAAGTCATGAAAAGATGCAGAAAAAAGGAAATTTTAAATCCTAAATCATAAATCATGGAACCAAAATTAATCTAATCCCTTTAAAGTGCAAATCGAACCGACATAAATACTGTATAAATAGCCAAGATCAGTCTGGTTTAAACACTAAACTCGTTTCCATTGTTAAATCGAAACCCAGTTTTTGAAAAAGAAGTTGTGATTATGGATTCTGCTGGACACATGGTTAGTACTCTGGATTTCATTTTCATTATTTTGATGTAGTTCTTTAATTATTTCTCCATTGTATAGACTAGAGAGTTTGATTATGAATTATGTTTTTGCAGACATGTGAACTGAAAGTGGAAACCCAATCTCCTGGATGGCATAAGACATTGATCAAAGTATTGAAAAGTATTGAAGGTAATTATTATTTTTTTATTGTATTTTAATATTATTGCAGAAATTATCGATCAGAAATGACATATCTATCCCATTTTATATATAATTGTTTATTTTCATGTTTGATGAAATTAAAATGTAATTGTAGAAATTGAAATAAAACAATAATATGTATAAACAATTCAGTTATAATTAATTTTATAGATTTCTTTTTTTGAAAAGATTTAATTTTATAGTTTGGAGCTTATATGAAAAAGGTTCTCAAAAATATAATAATCTTATAAAAAAAAAATTAATGAGCAAGTATAAATTATAATGTCCTTCAAAAGTTAATAAATTTTATTAGTTAAATTAGTGTGCCAAATGAATAATAAAATAAAAAAAATATTATTGAATCACTAATTAAATAGACTAGCGAGACATAATTTCTATATTCACTTCATTGATATAGCAATCTCTTACACAATTTTTTTTTTTTTTTGGGGTGTTAATTAGGAGTATCTTTCACCATAGATGCAGAAATGGGGATTGCAAGGGTCTCTGGCAAAATAGACCCAGACAAGCTCTTGGTAATGCTAGCCAAAGCAGGGAAGCATACTGATCTTCTTTGGCTTGACTCAGGAAACCATCTTACAAACGCCTCTTCAGTTCATAGAAATGTGGTTTGGCCTCATGGTTACAATCTCCATGGCAATTTTGGCTATGGGTATTACAATAACCATATGTCATGCCCTCCATATGGGGTAATTGACCCATATATGAAGGGTCCTTTTCCTCCACAAAGATCTTTGTATTATGATCCACCACATTACCAACCCTATTATGAACCACCTGCTCCAAGCTTTCCTCAAGCTCCACCACCAGTGGAAGACCCTAGGCTCGAATCCTTTTGTAACATGATGTGAGCTATTGACTCGCTGCTAAACTTTGCAGAGGACCTATTTGAAAAATATAAAATTTCTTTTGTAGGTTTTTTTAAGCCGTACCCCCTAAATCTGCAATGTTTTAATGGAGTTTCTAGGGGTTTTCGGTTTTTTGAGTTTAAGGTGTGTGAAATAGTGAATTTGCTTGAGTTTTCATGTTCTTCCATCTCCAGATTTTTAGGGAGATGGTTTTGGATTTTCAAGTTTGAATTTTATTTTTTTTTATTTGATTTTTTTCTTTTCCTTCTCCAAGTTTTTATGGAGAATCTAGGGTTTTAATCACTTGAATCCCTTCTGTAACTATTTGATGTGGAACTTACAAAGTTACTATTACCTTTCTTTTGAATATTTATCATCTTCTTTTATTATAATTTCAGGCAATTAGGCATGATATAGGCAATTTGATAATACTAGTTTATGTCTCTATTTCCCTTTATAGTTTTGTATCCATATTACTAATTATCTAATATGATACATTTCAGATTTCTAATTAATTCTACTAATCTTCTGTTAATCACATAGTTTAACAAAAGACAAGGCAGAATATGAGGAGATGAGTTTACAAACCTATGCTTCTTAGCTTCCTCTAAGCATAGCAAAGAATGACTTGTAAACTAGTAAAAGAAACTAAAATTCAATCCATGGCAGAATCTTGTTGTTCTTTAGGTTTCCATCTCAAGGTTCAAGACTGTAGCTAAAGGCTAGCTAAAACAGCATCTTTTTATATTCAAACAGAGTTTTCTCTCATGGAATCCAATACGTAGGTACATTGCATGTACAATGTACGGTTTTGTAATAAAAAGGTTGAGGTTCAAGAACCATTGGAGACAAGAAGAATCCTGTCCTCTTAAACATGTGGTTGTGGTCTTATGGTGCTAAAATTGCCAACATATGGATTTCTGATGTAATTTTTTTTAGCAAGTTGTCCTCTCAAGCATTTTTCTTCTGATTAAATAAAAACAACATTGTCATTTTGCCTGCTAAGGACAAAAAAACTGTACTGTCAATACCATTCCATATGGTTTTCAATACTTAAATGCAATTTGGTGCTAAATTCACTAATTGGCATGTTGATTAATTCTTATTATAAGCTTAGATTCGTGCCCTGTGATTAAATTCTCAATGTTTTAACATCTATTCTGATTCCTGAGCAAGCCTATTGATGTCTGAATTATTGAATTTCTATCAAACACATAAATATTCAATGAATAGTATTAAACTGTGGGTTGAGAGGATGGCACTAGCAATGATAGGGGAGGCAAGGAGGCAATGGGTATAAACAGGACTAATGCTTGCTGCAAATTGTTGGCTAAAATTGCTACAAAAGGAATCAGAAAAGCACATGCATATTAAAAGAATTGGTGAAACATCTTCATTGTGTTAACATATAAAGACTGAGAAAAGTAGGCATTAAAGCATCATTTCATTTCGGTTTTTTGATATCTTTAGCTTTTGCATTCTAAAATGGCATCTCCTCCTTCCCTGCATATTCCTATTAGGACTGTTAGTTTACCATCTAGAGAACACCCCATTTTGCATAAATTTGATGCAGTACTTAATCACTTAAAAACATGGCAGATATTATCAGAATCAGAAACAGCACCTTTCGGAGCGGAGAGTATCCAAATAGGCCTAGTTGGTCTTGCAGAGTTGTATAACTATGTTGATGAAATTATTCTTACTCCGCATTCTCAACAAGCTATTTTTCGCTATCGAAGTGGAAAGCTAGTAGAAGATGCTCTTGATGGGTCATTGACATTGCTAGATACATGTAGTATTGCGAAGGAAATAATTGTAATGATAAAGCAACATGTTTTAACCCTTCAATCCGCTTTTCGCCGCAGAAATTCAAGCATTGGAAGTAATATTCATACATATATTCATTCAAGGAAGAATGTACAAAAAGAAATCTCCATTTGCCTTGGAGCATTGAAGAAATTAGAAACCAAAGTTGGGTGCTTTACCTTTTCTGATGCAGATCAACCTGTAATGGAGGTTGCAAGAGTTATAAGAGAAGCAAGCAATATCACTATATCCATTTTTAGATCACTTTTGCTTTTCTTATCAATGCCTGTAATGAAGACAAAAGTTGGATGGTCATTAGTTTCAAAGTTAATGCCTTCAAGAATGTCATCTTCAAGAAAAGGACAAATGGTTATTAATGAAGTCAAGAGTTTAGATCTCTCTCTTTTCTATCTGAGTGAGCATTTAGGAGCCAACAATTCAAAAGATGAAATGAAAAAGATACAGAAAATGTTGGAGACTCTAAATCTTAGTCTTGATAGCCTTGAGGCTGAATTAGAATGTATGTCTAGGTGTTTAGTACAAAATAGAGTCTCTTTACTTAACATTCTCACCCAGTAGTGATTGGTACTGAAATTTTGTATATCACAAATTGATGATGGCATATATCCATATTTTAGAGGGTTTGCTGTTCTTCAAAATCTCAACTTGTACAAATTGAACTAATAATTTTAAAGATTTCTATTGTTGCCAATTTTTTGGTTAACGTATATGCAGAATTTGCAAAAGTTACTGCAATTATTTTTATGATTTTCCAGGAGTCATAGGTTCTGCATAGGAGCTGAACAGTAAGCTATAAATAAATTTTTACTGTGACGTACTCTCAGTGCAAGCAGATGAAGTAAGCTATAAACTGAATTCACTGCAATAACTATCCCGATCTATTATGCACCGAAACTTCTAATTATGAGCATTTTTGCATTTCAGAAACTTTTCCACTTGTCCGTTTTCCCCATATAAAGTACCATTTCTTCGTGTAAAATTATATTTTAAATGTCAGTTTCCCTTATTGTCTCTGCATTTACACGTTTCTTTGTTTCCGTTTCCGTGCAACATAGATCCCAATCTTAACATACAAACAATTAACGGCAAGTAACTGAACACTTGTTAGGACAGCAAGCAGAGACATGTTCTTGTGCAACCAGAAAAATAGAAAATGAAAGATGCAAATTTTTGAATAATTAATGAAGTATAATAGAGCATTAGCAGACAAAACAGACAAGAGGGATACAAACCACTCGTGCACACATTTTAATTGTGGCTTCAAATGCAATAATGATCTTGAAATTCTAGCCGTGCATTTTCTTTATATGAATAGATCTGGATCTTGATTTCTTTAGAGATAAATTATTTTTCTAGGTTCTCCTAATTGAGACAACACAGACAGTCCCCATATTATTTTATGATAGGGCAACTTTCTTTATACATTTGTGATAGTTACTAAATTTAACAGTGATTAGTATAAGAAAATTTTCAAAAAATTTCAAGAGTTAAAAGAAGCGAAATTGAAAAATTTACTATTTTAAAGGATAAAATAAAAAAAATTTTAAAATTTTATGGGATAATTCTTCAAAAAAAAATTTGATTAGGGGTGCAGGGGCCGCCCCTGGCCTCCCCTAGCTCCGTGAGTGGTAGTTAGGCTTTGACTACCAAGCGAGAGATACTTATAACTACCAAGCAGGAGACATGGGGAATAAATTGTCTAGGTGGCAGTTTATAATTATGTAGTTTGGCTAATTACTCTCCAATCATTGTTTAATTATACATTCCATCATCTTGAAACTGCAGGCAGAGGGTAATTTGGCAGTTGGGAATGCAAAATTTAGATGAATCATCATTTTATGTTTATACAAACGACATTCAAATGAATAATAACAAGACAACTCATATCGATTCCATACCCATCAAGAAATTAGAAAAAACAAAAAATTGCAGTTAGAAGAATACTCATCTTTTTTAATATTTCTTGCAGCCTATGGAAGAAGAACCAATTCATTTGGTTAGACCATCTAATTTCAAGCTTCCTGATAAAAGATAAGGCCAATAATGGCCATCAAATGCCATGTTTGATCAATTAGCTTGCCTTCAAAATCCTATCCTATTCCTATCCACACTTGAAATCAAGGGAAGCAACATCAAGGTCAATTCTAACTGGCTTTGCTGGACAAGAAGAGTTGTACAAATGGACAGCAAACTTGATCACGAGGCATCTCCCTCTCCTAAACCAAGATCATAATTTCACAGTAGTGATTCGTATGCTTGAAGGTGTTAAAGCAATGAATAATTCTATCTTCCAATCCCTACAGTGGTTCTTATCAGCATCATAGCCAAAAGAATGCAGGTGGTGAAGGTCACGGGTTTCAAAGCTAATGCTAATCCATAAAGGAGCATTAGCATGTTAGCAAAAGTAAGAAATTGTGAATCTTGCATTATTCGAAGAGTTTAATTTTTTTTTTTTTGGTATAAGCAGGAGCCGTTATCTCTTGGGTAGTAAAGTATAAATAGTTTTGGCTCTTCCTAAAGCATAAAGGTTTTTTGTTCTCCTAGCAAAGTGCACTCCATGGGGATCAAACTTGTGTTTTAACCCTTCCGGAGATTTACCATCTCAATCAATACCTTGTTGAATGCAAAGAGTTTGATTTTGATAAGATGCAAATTACAAACAAAAGGCTGGAGGCTTTGGATTGAATAAACTCAACACAATCACAGTTGCTATATGGTTAATGTATTGAATCTTTGCATGGAATGAGGAATTACACCAAGAAAGAGTAATTAGGATTTAATCTCTACTGCTAAATGATCATGAATGTTATGTTAAAAGGGTTCATTAGATATGGTGAGATGGCTTGCTGTAAGTTTGAGGAAAGAAAATTGCAGAACAGAAAAAAATGAAGGAGAAAGAAAGGCAGTATAATTTCATTCCAGCAAAGTGAGTATTTATACAAAAAATGCAAGATAGGTTTTTACCAACTCTTTAACTTAAAACTTAAGTTAAGCCACCCCAAACATGAGTTTTACTTCCGTCATTTTCTTCAATTTTACAAGAAAACAAAATATCAGAAAAATAAGTTTAAGTGACAAATGACAGCACAAGTGTCACTGCTTACTGCTGCTATTAATACTTCCTGCTGGGACCATTTCATTTTGTAAACTGTAGGTTTGCTTTCTTGAGATCAACATTTTTGTCTTTGACAGAGATGATTAAATACTAGAAATAATAAATGAATTAAATGAGACTTTTATATTTAGCAAGGGATTATTAATCTTCTTTTTTTTTTTTTTTTAATTTTTTATCTTCCTGCAAATTGGTAATTACTGTTCTTTTATGTGAATTGCATGAATTTATCTAGTGAGAAATTGAACTAATTATTATTTCAGAAATCAAATTGCACATTTACAAAGTTAGATGGAGCTTTTGAAGGCAAATAAATTTTAAAGCATATGCACAGAATTGTTCTTTAAATTCAGATATATCTATGTGAATCAAATTCTACAGTTAAAGATTGAATATTTGCATTCTATAACACATCAATAATTACAAGATATACACCAGGGTTAGTCTGAATGGAAAAGACTCGTATTCCATAAAGTTGTGATCAGCAACAGTTTTTTAAGTAGCTTTTAACGTTTTGGCTAATCAAAACAGTAAAATGCTATTTAAAAAACTATTCAGTAACATAGTATTTAAAATAGCTTTTTGCGAAAAGTTAACCTATATAATGTTCTTTTAGCATTTCATAAAAAGTTACTCAAATATCTAACAGCTAAATGCTACTAAAACAATTAATTTTACCGAACAAACCCTAAAGGATGTGATGCTGAGAGTATTTCCCTATATGAGCCTGACAAAAAAAAAAAAATTTCCAAGATGTATCATTATAGGTAGAATATCATTATTGTAGCGTTGATATGAAATCCACTTATAGGTAGAATATGATTATCAAACAGATCATGTCAAAAAAAAAAAAAAAAAAACAAAAATTATTCAGAAAAATAGTTTAAGTGACAAATGACGAGCTACATAAGTGTCAGGACTGCTTTACTCTGCTAGTTATATACTTCCGTGCTCTTATTGGGACCATTTCCTTATTGTAAACTGTAGTTGTGCTTTGATATTAGAGGTTCAACATTTTTGGTTTGTTGACTAGTAGATGATTATAATTACTATAAATAATAACCTATGATTATTAATTGTGGAGAGCTTTATATATTTTTTAGGCTCAAGCGCAATTTATTATCTTCTTTTTTTTTCTCTCTCTTATAATTTATTTTTCTTCCTTGCAAATTGGGTAATTAACTGTTCTTTTTATTGTGAATTGCATAATTTATCTAGTGAGAAATTGATACTAAATTATTTATTCTAGAAATCATAATTGCACACCTCTCCCACACAGCTTACGATTGGAGTTCATTTTAGAATCACGATAAATTTTTGAAGAGCATCATAGTATGCACAGACATTGTTCTTTAAATTTTGCTAGACTCTATATCTCTGAGAGTGGTGTGAATCGAGATATTCTACATGTTACAAGATTGAATTTTTGCATTGTGCGTTATAACACATCAATAATTAACAAGAGAAATATTTAACACCAGGGTTAGTCATTGAATTCGAAAAGACTCTGCAACTATTCATTTAAATTTATTTGTGCATCATCCCAACAGTGTTTCTTTATCCAAGGAGCTTTTAACGTTTAGGCTTAATCAAAACAGAGTGTGACAAATCGGCTAGTTTTAAAAAACTATAAAATCAGTTAACATTGATGTCATTTTAAAATAGAACATATTTTAGCCTGTAACTCAACCATAAATGTTCTTTAGCCTTCTCATACAAAGTTACTCAAATAGTCTAAAGACTATATGTTTTGACTAAACTTAATCTTATAACCGGAGACAAACCCCTCATAAAGATGTGATGGCTTAGAGAGTATTTCCCTATATGAGCAACTGACCCCCCCCCGTGTACAAGAAAAAAAAAAAGATTATCCAATGATTATCATTATAGGCTAGTGAATGATCATATATTGGTATACGCGTTGATAGAATCCGTTTCAAGAGCGTGAGTGAGTGGTCTTCTCTCGCTCATGATTTGAGTCAAACAGATCATGTCAATAAAAAAGAAAAAAAGGGAGAAAAGATTATCAAACAGATGATTCTCCCTTTATTCTTTGTTCTGGGCTCCGGGACTTAATGTTTGACGGTGGCTAGAGTTGCGTCCCAACCACTTTATTCCCTCTACTTCATTTACAATATAAGGCCAATAAAGGAGATATATAACTAAAGTTGGAAATATTATCACAGTTTGAGTCGTGGGGTCCGTTAATCCGGTGAAATTTAACTAGACGGAAACGTGGCATCTAGGGTGCGTTTCGGAAACGGCAGCTGGTTTCAGACTAAACGGAGCGGGCTAGCCCAAGTTTGTCGTCTCGCAAGGTTATAATCCACAATTGATCTCATTTCTTAATTTTTGAAGATCTGATTTAAATTAAATTTGTTGTCTCATGTCGCTTATTTTCCTACTTCTTTAAAAGGAACTCCTCTTAAAAAAAAAAAAAAAAAAAAGATTATCAAACAGATGATTCTCCCTTTATTCTTGTTTGGGCCCAACTAATGTGGGCTTGAGTTGAGTCCACCACTTTTTCTTACTTCATTTACAATATAAGCCCAATAAAGGAGATAATAACATAAAGTGGAAAATATAAGTTTGGTCTGGGTCCGGAATCCGGAGAAATAACAGAGGAAACGGCAGGTGGTTTCCGGAAACGGCAGCTGGTTTCAAGAAACGGCAGGTTATATAACATGAATCTCATTCTTAATTTTGATTGATTAATTAAATCTTTGTTATTAATTTTATTCTTAAGAACCCTCTAATTTAATTTTCTTCTTCTATTGCTAAATTTAAAAGCTTTATTAAATTCATTGAGGCAAACAAATGATCTGTTCATCGTAAAAATATACTAAAATAGCAATCCTAATGCCTTAAGAAGAACACAACGGAAACATGCCACTCGTGCAACAATAAATAAATATAAATTTCTTAAACATCTGCAGACAAAATCAAGGCAATGACAACAAATTTTTCTTACATAGATGTAAACCACTCGTGCACAAAGTATATAATAATATCTCAAATTGAGGTCGGCCGGTTCATTGAATTGAACTGAACCGACGGTTCCGTTTTAGTGAACCGGCAACTTCATATCTCATATGCTTTCGGGATCGAATTTTATAATTTGTTTTACCCTTTAGAAGACTCATCGGGCTAAAAGAACACTTTGAGTCTCACAAAATGGGTGGTTCTCCTCTTTTCTCACTAAATTAGTGAGGACAATCTTGTGATTAAGAGGTTCTAAATCTAAGATCTCTCACTCTCCATATAAGTGAGAAGACAGACTAGACTACATCTGGTTAGTCGAATCAAAATATCTGTTTATTGATAGAAAATAATAATTCAATAGGGTGGGGCAAAAAGTTCATAAATACTAAAATATAAAAATTACATATTACTTCCTCCGTTTTCAAATATTTGTCACATTTGAAAGTGTAATATGTTCACAAATACTTATTACATTTTTGGATTTTATAAATAATAAATTATTTTTTTTCATTTTTACCTTTTGTATATGATTAATAATGATCGCTTCAGTTGCTTAATAATTTATTATAACTTGGACAAATTAAGGGCAGTGCAATGAATTTACTCAATAATTTATTATAACTTGAATAAATTAATAGTTTTCTTAAGAGAAGTGTAATATCTAAATGTGACAAATATTTGAAAACGAATCCTCACGAATGGAATTATGAACCGAACCGACTGGGCTGGTTTTGGACTAAACCGGACTAGTGGCTAAGTTTACCTGAAATGAGACATACCAGTGTCTACTGTATATATTCTAATCACAAAGCTATATCAATTATAACTGCAGATCTAGTTTTATATTTGTTTAGTGCATTCTCTTATTGAGACCTACAAAGGTGGCAAGAGAGGAGGCAAAATCGGAGATGACTCATCTTGTTATCTTGAGAAATGACAAAGTAGCAGGACACCTCATACAAGAAACCATAATTGGGAGTCTCTCAAAGCTAAAAGAATAATATTAATAAAGCTGTGTTTGCTTGAAATATAACATGGTTGCCATATTTAAAGGAGAGCTCACATTGGCTTCACATGCATGCACACACCTCACCATTTATATTCTTGGAACCAAACCCTGTCCTATATATATAGACAGACTCATTATTGGTTAAACCATCAAACACCAAACCAAAAACCTTTCTCTAACACGAACAGAAATGGCTAATAGGTATAATGTTAGATCTATTAGCTTCCCTTCAAGATCTCATCCCACAACTCTTAAAATAGAAGAGCAGATAAAGAAACTTAAAACCTTGGTGATATCTTCAGAGTCGATCTGCCATGGCATGTTAGGGTTAGAAGATTTGTATAATGGTGTTAATGAGCTGCTTAACTTGTCATCAACCCAACAAGTTCTTTCTCACCATCAAAATGGGAAGTTTCTTGACAGGTTATTGGATGGATCTGTCAGGTTATTAGACATTTGTGGGATTACAAGGGATGTTCTACTGCAATTTAAGGAGCAAGTTCAGTCTCTTCAATCTGCTTTTCGCAGGAGAAAAGGCGATTCGAGCTTGGAAAGCAACATAGATAACTATGCTTGCTTTAGGAAGAAGATGAAGAAGGATGCCAAAAAGTTTATTGCAGTATTAAAGCAAATGGATACTAAACTTGAGGCATCTCTGCTTGAAGATCAAGATTACCACTTGATCCAATTGTTTAAAGAAGTTAGTTTAGTTACTAGCTTTACCTTCCAATCTTTCTTGTCATTCTTGTCAACATCAAGGCCAAAGAAAACTAGGTGGTCTGTGATTTCAAAGCTAATGAACAAGGGAGCAATAGAATGTGAAGAAAAGCAAGAAATTGTGAATCAATTGGAAAGTGTTGATTCTTTATTAAAAGAAAGGCTTAATGCTGAGAAGATGAAAATTGCACAGAAAGGGTTAGAGGCTCTGGAGATGAGCATTGGAGACCTTGAGAATTGCTTGGAGAATATGTTCAGGCTCTTGATTAAAACAAGAGCTTCCATTTTGAACATAATCTCCCAATAAAGCCTTGTCATTACTGGTTTCTATATCAAATCCTTCAATGGCATCCAAATTTTACAGGATTCCAAGGATTTTCATTTTTCAATCACAAATCTCTATATGTACATGAAAATCAAATCTCATAACTGTACAATGAAATATATATACAAAGTTTGTTACTATTTTGAGATGATTTCTTTTCTTTTGTTTTCTTGATTTCCCATTGTCATTAATTAAAAAACAAAAAAGCTTCATACAAAAACAAAATAATTGCATCCTGAAATTTGCTTCCGCACCTAAAACGACTTGAAAGTGGTAAATGAATGCAATTCAAGCAAAGGCAACAAAAATTGTACAATTGAGTTTATAGCAGGCAAATTCACTTATGGCATCAAAAGATGGAAGCAGAGCACTCTGTTGTCAAATTCTTGCTTAAAGAAAACAAAATTGTGATAAATAGAAACTGATAGTATTGAGAATAGAAAATCAAGAACAGTATCTGAATTATATTTAATAAATGAATGTGATACTTTCTTTCTCATTTTGCTTTAAACAATGGCTGATAAGTTTATTATTACGAGTGTGAATCTCCCATGCCAAATTTAAAATTTGGATGATATCTAGGCATGTGATGCTAAATGCTACCCATACTCTTATTTTTATTTTCCATTTCTAATTAATTTATATTTCACCATCTGTCAAAGACAAAGACTTCCACGTGGAACTCGAGGCAGGGAACTAATAACAGAACAGCATAGTCTATATTTATACAGAAGTTGAAATCAGAAGTTTGATTTTATGTGGACTATCCTTTACTTGAAAATGTTAAATGTGGTTCATTGTTCTATAAGATACTCCACCTCTTTCTTGGTTTTCTCTCCAAGCAATTGCACTTTCTTGATCATGTGATTCCAAGCACTAACTACAAATTAAATTTCAGAATACAAGGGTTCTTTCTACAACATGACATAATCATTCCTCAATCAGTAAAAAAATGGGTAAACATAATTGGGCCCTAAATTATTTCTGAATTGACATTTAAGTACCGCATTTGAGAAATAACTATGACATTTTAATTTATACTTTATCTCATTATCAGGTCTTTTTATTCAAAATGTGGGACTTTTATGCCCAAAAAGTGAATATATTCCATCTAAAAAAATGTGTCTAATTAACGATAAAGAGCTCAATTTTTGGACGGAAGGACCTAACAGTTAGATGAGAGCATAAGTTAGGAACGTCATAGTTATTCTTAAACGAAAAAAATTCCTAATTTTATTCAGAAATATATGATATTATATTAAAAATTCAAGTTCAATTTCAAAATTATTACAGACAACGATACATGATAAATATACTGAATAAAGAAATTGAAATAACTTTTTCAAAAAGTATTTTTGAAACAAGACAATTAGGCACCCCACACACCCTTGATCTACTTGAAGAAGTAGGATTCATGGATTTAGTACAAACTGTTGATCTGTATCTAAATAATATAATCAAAGCAACAAACAAATGTCATAAAAAGGTAGGTAGCAAAATGATGGGTGGGAAGCATAGTGAGAACATGCCACGCGTGCAACTATAAATTTTATATGTTTGCCAATTCTAACTACCATATCCATCTTTATTATTATATAAAAAATGAAGGTTCCTAATCTTCCCATATCTCAAAATCTAGATTTTCAAAGTTCTCCATATCCAGAGAACTTAGTAGGATACACATGAAACTATGGAGTTTGGCAGTGGCGAAAAAGGCGGTGCATGGGAGGTAGAGAAAGAGATAATGCTAAAAATTATTTAGATGGAAACAAAAAATTGCATAGTGAGATGAGTGGTTCGGTAAAATTTATCATGAATAAAGTAAATATTCACCGAGAGCATTTTACCTTTTAGTGAACAAATTGATTCGGTGCAAATAGAATTTACTTGTAATCCGACTAATGGATGTATAGACTTACATACTATACCACTCTTCTGGTCTCCCTATCTTCCATTCCAATCTATCACTATAAATATCATCTAACCATCAAAGTTAATTCAGATTCAAACATTACATGCTAAAAAGATTAACTATGCCTGTTCTATCCACTAAACCTACTCGTTCATATAATGTTCGTTCAATTAGCTTTCCAGCTAGATCACATCCTAGTATGGGAAAAATTGAAGAAAGATTGAACAAATTAAGTTCCACGGAGATATCATCGTTGGCGAATGCTGAAACAATTCGTGCTCGACTATCTAGCCTTGCGGAGATATACAAATGTATAGAGGATCTGCTGAATCTGCCATTGACTCGACAAGCATTAGCAAAACATCAAGAAGAGAAATGGGTAAGTGACACGTTAGAAGATTTGATAAACTACTTAGATATATGTGGCAACACAAGAGATAATATTTTGTTAATGAAAGAAAGTGTTAGAGAAGCTCAATCAGCTCTTAGACGAAGCAAAGGAGGAGGAGACTTAAGCATTGAAAGTGAAGTAAACGCTTATATTTCCTCAAGAAAGAAGATGAAAAAGCAAGCATCAAAATCACTTGCATCGTTGAAGCAGAAAGATAGAATATTTACAGAGTCTTATATGTTCAATTCAGATTATCACTATCTACTTACAATAGTGAAAGCAATTAGAGAGACAAGTTGGATCACCATTTCCATTATTAGTTCACTCTTATTTTTCTTTTCTGTGCCAATCTTGAAACCAAAGAACAGTAAATGGTGTTTGCTTTCAAGATTGGTGCATAAAGGGGCAGCAGGAGCATGTGAAGGCCAACAAGAGAATATGAATGAGTTAGAAAAGGTGGATCTTGCACTTAGTAATCTTTTGGTGGCTAAAGATTTGAAGCTACAGAAGATACAATTTACAGAGAAAATGCTGGAAATCTTGGATATTAGTATCCAAGAATTTGAAAATGAATTGGAATGCTTGTTTAGGCATTTAATTCATACTAGAGTCTCCCTCCTGAATATAGTTTCTCACCAATTAGACTAATTTTTAGTGTATATTTGTATTATCTATTAGTAGAATCCTCAAATTTTGGAGGATCTACACAAAGTTGCTAACCTGTCTAGATAAAAAAAGAAAAAAAAGGAAAAATGTACAATTATGTTCAAGAATTTCATTTTATATTGGAAGATCATAAAAAAAAAAAAAGAAAAATTGTATAGAGAAATTAACTTTTTCTAATGTTTACTCACGATGGCTAGGCATTACGGATTCATTCAATTGCAGGTTTCAAAGAATCGACGATTCAAAATTTTTAAAATATCGAAACTGAATTAGTTTTGAATTGCCGGTTTCGATCCGACTTTGGTTCCGGCTGGTCCGAATGTAGTCTTGATACACTGAAGGTTCTAATCACGGTTTTCGGAATATATGCATTATTTTTAAAAAAAAAAATAAAAATTTGATTTTAAAATTACATATTTTATTCGAAAAAATTAATGTGAATTTAAAATAAAAAAAAACATTGGTAAACCTTATAGAGAAGTATTTTCCATCAATAAAATAGAAGAAGCCACAGAATTAAGCTAGCTAGTCTTGTTAATGTCGGTAGCCAAGCCATTATTGCTAGTATGTCATAATGGTAGAAGTCAGTGGAATAGCTCAATAAGCAATTTCTATAGGGCCCATAAGCAGCAGCCCAATGGAGTAGAACCTGAGGCCCATAGAATTAGGGGTTGGGCCCAAATCAGCTCACTCTTTATTAGAAATATTCGAAAGGGTTACATCAATACCCCCCAGTATTTAAGGATATTCAATTAGGTCCAAGATGACTTTTGGATCAACAAATACAGCAGTATCATTTTCCTTGCACACAACATATTAAGCAACATAACGGCTATTTTTCCTTCCGTAACCTCTCGATCGCATCAATCAACAAGGTCGGCACCTCTAAGCCCTTTTGAACCGTCTGATTAAGACCAAAAAAAGAATCCAATACATGTCAACTATTTTCTTCTGTACAGAGTCAATTAGACCGTTGCTCCTCTACCTAAAAACACCTCGCGAAAGTAACCCACTCTCCACTTTCTTCACATATTTTTCTCTGCTCGTCAGCCATGACTGTAACAAGAGTGGCCGCTTCTCACACGATGAAACTCATGAAGCTCACTCTATCTATTCTTTTCCCACGCTTTAGCTCCTCCAGATGGTACATTTTCTTTTTCAATTCTGTGTCTAGCAGATGGGTAATGTTCTGTTTCGCTGATTAATTAGTAATTTATTTGTGTTCTTTTTTACTGGGTTTTTGTGGAAAATAGTAAAACGGCGGCGAAAATGGCGGTGGCGAGGATAAAGTTGCTGAGGAATAAGAGAGAGGCGGTGGTAAGGCAAATGAGGAGAGACATTGCGTTGCTTCTTCAATCTGGTCAAGATGCCACTGCTCGTATTCGGGTAAAGCTTTAATTTTTATCGTCAAAATAAAGACTAAACTTAGTTTGTGAAATTGGATTCTCATAATCAAGTTATGTTTGAAGTTTATTCAATTTTGGGTCATTGACATTATAACTGTACTTGTAACAATGTTTGTTATGTTAACTCATTCACAGTCTTGTTGCCAGATTGTTTTATAGATGATATACAGAGTGAAATGAGATTTGCAGGAAAATAGATTTTCTCTAAAGAACTGGAAATGGGATTTCAATGACCGATCTTCCATTATTTGATTCTACACGGCTAAAAATCCTGTGATGATTGGGCACCACAGTCAGTTGCTATGTTGATTCAATTTGAAAATAATAGAGAAATTGAGATTGAAAATATTGGGGTTTTTGGCAACCTCTGTGCTCTTGCTAGAAATTTCTCAAAACCAGATCATTTGAGCTGCAATAGTGAAGTTCTATTGAGCATCGGGTTATGGTCAATGTTGTTATGCCTCCACATTGCGCTACCAGTGCGAACTTAAGTTTCTAGAATAAGAATATCCATGGGGAATCCAGAATGCCACCCCCTTAGCAAATGTAAAGCTTAAAGCAGTGATTGATAACTAACAACTTATATAAGTATTTTACAATTTTAATTATTTATGACTTAGAAACCATTCTGCTAGTTGCATGAACAAAAGGTTTAATTTAACATCGTTTATGCAGTCTTATAGTTGCCTTTTTTTTTCCAACTTTTTGGTTTCTATTAAAAAGGAAATCAATGAATTTGTTCTCAAAAGAAATAAGAATATGCCCAAGTTACCGGTATTCATGTCTTAAAGTTAATCTGCCTTCTGCTTTTCCCTTTCCCCTTATGTGAAAAAGATTAGGTAGGCAATAAAATATGGACAAAGTGCAGCACTTTCTCGATAATTGATTTTTATATAGAGTTGATCTTTACATATAGTATCCTGAATTGATTGAATGGTTTGTATTTCTTTATAGTTTCATGTACTTGCATGATCAGAAACCTCCTTCCATGAGAACATTATATATCTCTTGAAAATCATTTCTCTGTTTAAATATGGGGATTTGGAATATGAAACGGATTATTGTGGAATATTGATGTTAGAAGCTGATATAATTTTCGGGGGTTACATTTCTTGCAACATGATTGTAGATTGACATAAATTGCAAATAAGTTTCATGGCATTGTTGTAGGTTGAGCATGTAATCAGAGAGCAGAATGTTTTGGCTGCAAATGAGTTTATTGAGCTCTTCTGCGAGTTAGTAGTGGCCAGACTTTCAATAATTGCAAAGCAAAGGTGAGAATGGTAAGATATGTGTACTGCATTTCATATCTGATATACATACAGTTCTAATGTAGATGTGATTTATTCCAGAGAATGCCCGGCAGACCTGAAAGAAGGGATAGCTAGTATAATTTTTGCAGCCCCAAGGTGCTCTGAAATTCCAGAATTAGTTGCGATGAGAGATATATTTGAGAAGAAGTATGGGAAAGATTTTGTGTCTGCAGCTACTGATCTGCGACCCAATAGTGGTGTAAATCGCATGGTAAGTGCTCTATTGCTTGCATCATGAGATTAGGACTTTAAACAGTCCCAAATTTAAGTATTTCTTGTTCATTGGATAGACAATTTCTAATTTTTGGTCACTGAATATAGTACTTATAAATAATAATATTCGCATAGACCTAGTTCTGATTTAGGTTTCATTGGAAATTTATGTTCTGTCACTCGAGGAAAATAAAAATAAAGTGCTTTCCTTTCTTATAGTTAATTGAAAAGCTCTCTGTTAGAACTCCTACTGGGGAAGTAAAGTTGAAAATCATGAAGGAAATTGCAAAAGAACACCAGATTGAATGGGATACAGCAGAATCTGAAAAGGAGCTTCTCAAGCCTCCAGAGGAGCGCATAGTGAGTCCCTTGCACACTGCCCCATATCTCTATCTATATACAAACTTTACTTTTACTAGAAAAATCTATTTTATCTATTCTTTTATCTGAAGGAACCTAACACTAGTGCTACAGGTTTACCAGTAGCAGTAATTTACTTTTATTTATGAAAGTCCTTTTTTTTTTTTCCTTTTTATCAGGAGGGACCTAACACTTTTGTTAGTGCTACAAGTTTTCCAGTGAAACCAGCTCCAAGTTCAACTACTGAGACAAAAAATCCAACTATCAAGTAATTGAGCTATCTTTTTTGCTATAAGCAGATTCAAGAAATTTAGACGTAAAAATTATATGCTCATTTTTTCCACATATTTTCTTGTCCCTTGCACAGACGACCAACTAATGAAGGGATAGCAGGCAATATACAGTTTGAAGACACAGCATCAGCTGCAGCTGCTGCTGCTGAATCCGCTAAGCTGGCAATTGCAGCTGCACAAGCTGCTGCTTATCTAGCTAACAAAAACTCCACTCAGGCCTCTCTACCACCTGGCTTTGATCATACATTGAACACTCCAAGCATCAATCCCAGATTTGGAGTGCTTCCCAGCCATTCCACTGGTCTTCCCAGTGCAAACAATCCCTATATCAACCATCAAGTCATGGATCATCAAGCTAACGGCACCAGGAGGTTACATGAGACACAGGACTATGAACGGTCTCGTTATCCGAGCAGTGAGGAGACGAGATCAGTGCAGATGAATGGTGATTGTGAACATAATTATAGGAGACATAGCTACAATGAAACAAGGCCAATGCATCTGGATAGTCAAAATGTTTACAGAAGACATAGCTATAATGCCTCTTCTCCAAAGTCACAAATAAAATTTGATGAATCAGACTGTGATGAAGAAATTGAAATGGAAGATTCACCAGCTGGCATATACCCACCGCCGCCTACACGGCCTCCACCACCAATACCTTCATCTCATGTAGCCCCAGTTCCTCAAGTTCATCCAAAATTACCAGATTATGATGCATTAGCTGCTCGCTTTGAAGCTTTGAAGTATAAGAAGTCGCAAACTTAGAACTTCAGAATCCCTTGAGCCTTGAGCAGCAATTTTTGTTGGCTTTTGACAAGCTTTTGCATGGTATGGATGATCCTAAATGTAATAGATAATTGATAACAAATATATATATATATACACCTATATTTTGTAATATCCATAAAATTATATCATTCTGGTCGATTCTATTATATGAACTCTATTCTCATTGTCAATGTTTATGCGCAGGATTCATTTTTTTTAATAATAAAATTTACGAGCGATTATTTTTTAAATTCAATTATTATTTTTTAAATGAGTTAAATAGCTTGTGAGCGACTTGGTGTTTCCATCAATATAACTATATAAGTTCACTTGAACTCATTTTTTAAAACTTGTTCAATAAATGTGTTAAGTATTACTTGACCAAATGATTAAAAATTTTTGAATAAATTTATGAATTATTAAATTTATAAAAAATGATTAAACAATTAATCATCTTTTTACATAAATTTGATACTTGATTTCCTTTAATTCATTTGTTATTAACAATTCAACGTTGAATTAACTAAAATTTTGCTGTGTAAATTAATTTGGAAATACCCAATAATGATAAATATAAAAAAAATTAAACCAATTAAATATAAAATACTTTAAAGATCATAGTAATAAAAAATTGTAATTATTAAATAAAATTTAGTAATTTTTTAGAGAAACAATATTTATTAATAATTTTAAAATTATTAATTTTTTATTGACATAATAGTAATTTGCCATTTAGAAAACGCCAAGGCATTTTAAGTTTATGAATCACATAAACGACACCGTTAAACTCGCATTAGGAACCTCCCCTAAACCCTACATTTTTGAGCGCCTGCCCCGCCTCTCTCCACCTCCCTCCTTTTGGACTTTGCAGTCGATAAACCCTTTTCTTGCTCTTTCTCTGTAACCATTGCCATATAGCTTTGCTCTGTGTAGCCATCAATGACCACGCCTCCAGCACCATCTGGCGTAAGCCCAAAAACAATAGAGAGAGCTATCGGAGCTCTTCTGAAATGGCGAGCTGCCAAATCCGAGACCCAAAAACCTCAATTGCTAGAAAGTGACGAATTCGTTTACCTAATTTTAACCCTTAAAAAAATCCCACAAAAAGGAGTTAGCCGTGTAAACCCCTACAAGGTCTCCCTCCCTAACCCTTTAATCAACCCTCAAAACGACAACTCTGAGCTCTGCTTAATCATCGATGACAGACCCAAATCTGGCCTTACCAAAGACGCAGCTCAGAAGAAAATCCAAAACGACAACATACCAATCTCCAAAATTATCAAGCTATCTAAGCTTAAGACTGATTACCGTCCTTTTGAGGCGAAAAGGAAATTATGCGATTCCTATGATATGTTTTTCGCTGACAGAAGGGTCATTCCTCTATTGCCTAAGATGTTAGGGAAGCAGTTCTTCAAGAAGAAGAAGATTCCGGTAGCTGTGGATTTGAAGCATAAGAACTGGAAAGAGCAGATTGATAAGGCATGTGGTTCAGGTTTGTTGTTTTTGAGTACTGGTACTTGTAGTGTGGTTAAAGTAGGTAGGGTTTCAATGGGTAAAGAAGAGATGGTGAATAATGTTGTGGCTGCTATTAATGAAATTGCAGAGATTGTGCCTAGAAAATGGGGTGGTATTAGGTCTTTGCATTTGAAATTGCTTGAGAGCTTAGCTTTGCCTCTTTATGAGGCACTTCCTGATTTTAAGCTGAAGATTGAAGGGGTTAGAGAGGAGAAGAAAGAGGAAGAGACTGAGAAAGAGACAGTTAAGGAGGAGAAAGTGGGGAAGAAGAAGGGGAGGATACATGAAATTAGGTATCTGGATGATATTGTCAATGATGATGAAATTGAATTGAAGAGTGACGATAGTGATGAAGATATTGCTAGTGATAATGAGGATAATGAAGGTGAAAAGGGTATTGGTGAATTAGATGTTAAGAAGAGAAAGAAGGGGGACAAAGGGAAAGTTGAGAAGAGAGCTAAGGCAAAGAAAGAAGATGGTGTCAAGGAAAGGAAAAAAGTGAAGAAAATAAAGAATGAGGATAGTGTAACACCAAAGAAGGGCAAGAAAGATCAGTTGCCATTGAAAAAAATGAAGGCAAAATTGAAGTGAAGGACAAGAAGGCATAAGAAGAATTAGAACAAAAGGTTGGTTACATAATTATCACCTTTAGAGGAATTTTTAGGCTGGTTGGACTTGAAGAAAAGGTACTACGATCATCTTTTTGTCCATAGCAGATTTTGGTCTGAGGTTTGACTTTTGTGGGCTTTTTATATTTTAGTACTGTTTGTGAAATTTTTAGAACCTAATTTTACCATTTTTCTGCAATCCTCTCTCTTGCTTCTCATTTTCTTCTTATAAATTTTATAATTTTACTTTCCTAATGTAGGTCGATTTTCTTATCTGTTTCATATGACTGGTGAAGGAAAATTTTCCTGCGTTGGTTTTTCCTGTTCTCTTGGTGAATATGTTGAATTTAGCTTGTCTGTGCACATGTGTTGGTTATTCTTTAGGGGTTGCTTTAGAGATTCTTTAGTGGATTTTTTCAAATTCCACTTTGTTTTGATATGAATATATCCAGTATTTCAACTTGGATCAGGGTATGTGGTAATGGAGGCCTGTGCCATATTGCTATTAAAGTACTAATGGTTTGATAAGGTGCTACACACTATCAATCCCACTTAATAACAGGTCTTCTCTATTTTCTCCTGTGTGGGGAACTTTTGCATACATTACTCAGTTGTTAAGTTACAGATTTGTTGGAGGATAGTTTTTAAGTTTGGGAGCTTAGTGGTCTTTGCACTTGTTAGTTGGCACTTTTGATGGGATTCAGTAGGTAGAGGTAGAAATCTTGTCATCACCTTTAAATTTAAATGGTAGAGTAAGGACTATCTTGGGTTTGAATGAATTTGTGTGACCTCAAGCTTTTTTATGTGCTTGAGAAAAGTCCAACAAGCAGAAACATTCCTTTATTGGTTGATCTTCAAAAACTTGAAGGCTGGAATTAAATTTTGAATATTTGCCTCTTGGCCCTGTGTACAGTTGTCAAATTTGATTGGATAGGAAATTGGAAAAGATAATTGCTACAAAAGATTAGGCTATAATTGCTGGATTGTGGAGTTTATAAATATAAGGGCATCATTCCTTGTGCTAAAACGGCTATTAACATTGCTATATCCTTAATTTATAACTTTCAGAAATATCTTCACGTGGCATCTAGCTTATTAAGTATCAAGTGTGAAATATATCATCAACTTTCCATTGTTTATATTTGGGAATGCCTTTTGTTCTTGGTGTACTTTTTGTTGCAGTTGGTGAGTATGCTGAGTTTGTTTGCAAATTAGCATTAAGGCAATCAAATCCTCCAACTTTTTCTTTTCAAATGGTTAGATTCTTCAGTATTTTAGGGTGAAAGATGATGTTGCATAGCTTGTATTGGTTTAGACATGCTAAAGGCTAGTTATGGGCATAACTCGCATTTTTCTACTAGATTTCTGTATCTTTTTAAGATATATTGGAGATGTAAGAAAAATGGTTGTTAGATGACACTACAACTTGAGGAGTGGTGGAGTTCTGAGCAAACTTTGTACGTTTTAAATTGGTTCTGATGTTGAATGATTGTCAACAGAAATTAGCCATTTTAATTGTTAAGAGAACTATGTTTACCCTTGGAGCCTTAGGATTTCCTGATTTTTTCCCAATTGCATAATTCCAGGATTAGGACCCCTTTAGATTGTTTCTGCAGAGGCTTTCTACTGAGCATCTGTTATTTATCTTGTGCAAGCTTTGGATTTTAGGATATTAACATTTGCATGTAAAATCAGATTCTTGATTAAGATTTAGTTTGTTGGTATTTGCTTCATGAGAAAAAAAGAAGAAACTTTTGAACATAGATTTCTGGAACTTAGTTCTCAACTAAGCTTGAAGGAGGATACAAATTTCAATATTTAACAATGGTTTTGGTTGAAGTGTATGTAACTTTATTGTGGTCAATAGTTTCTTGTCATTTGTTTTATAATAACTATGTTGTTGTCAATGCTGGAAAGCCACTGACGCCTAGTTGTGAATACGGTTCCAATGACAGAATATCAGGGGAAAGAAATTAAGACTAGTAGGAGCTCAGTCTGTATTTGCTTATACATATAATATTCTGAGATGAATTGGCAGAAAGTCATTGGCAGCATATCACTCCAATGACTAATTTCTGTTGGGAATTATGAGATAGGGTTAGTATATAATCAAACTATAGGTCATTTTTTTGCCAAATGACAACTAGGTTTGCTAATTGCTTTAAGAGAGAAATTTCAAAATAATTATAGCACTTGAAGAAATAAACTATAGGTCATTGGTTTGGATGCTTTTATTTTGTGCATATATTATCTTTATTGAAAGCTGAGGCAGGGCAATTAGGGTTACAAAGCATGCATCAAGTGCTTAGCTTATGGTGCATTCAAATGCCAACAGATTCAATTAAATTTTTGATGTGTGGAAAAGGAAAAGGAAGGATATTTACTATTTGGTAAAAATGTTGGGATTGGTGATCCTAATAAAGATTTTATAACCATTTCATATTTTTTTAAATGATTAATCATTTAATTTTTTTATATAATCGGGAGGTTTAATCTCCTTGAACTGTAGAGTAACTATTATGGGATCGAGGTTGCAAACTTCCTCAACCAAAAAATTGTTGGTATATAATTATTTAATTTATTTATTTTTTATCTGAAATTTATATGTTCTTCTAACAAATAATACTCCGACCTCATATATATACACATATTGTGCTTTGAAGCACATGAGAAAAAATTAGGCTGTGTTAAATTATTTAATCCTTTCGTCATTTTTATTATTAAGTGAGAGATTAAACAGTAATTTAATTATAAACATGAGAGACTAAACAGTAATGATATACTAAATCCTAAGGATGGAATAGTCAAATATTACATAGTACTGAGAAAGATAACACTTTTGAAGTCTCTAACTTTTTTTTCCCGTTGAACTATTCGATTCTTCCATGTTTAATTCAATTCTAAACGCGAGGGACTAAATAGTAATAGTATACTAAATGTAGAGGATCAAATAGTCAACTACTGGATTGTATTGATGATAAAAATAACACTTTTAATTTGGATCAAAGACTAACTAGTTTAATGAGACTGAAATTTAGGGACTTCTAGCTCCTTTGAACAAATGAATCTTGCCAGTGGAATTCATTTGCAAATGAATTTGTTATGTTTGCTATACTATAATTTAAAATAAAGAATTTAATTGAATTTCATAAAATTATTTTTGGAATAAATTTTTAAATGAAAATTTATTTGTCTTTATTTCTTATAACACCATTGATATAATAATTTAACAAAAAGAAATAACAAACACCAATTATATTTATTATGTATAATATAATAACTTGTCATTTTGTCATTGAAATATAAATAATAAATTTCATATAAATAAGTACTTTATGTTGCTATACTATAATTTAAAATAAAAGATTTTAATTGAATTTCATAAAATTATTTTTGGAAATAAATTTTTAAATGAAAATTTTTGTCTTATTTTCTTATAACACCATTGATATAAATATTTAACAAAAGAAATAACAAACACCAATTATATTTATTATGTATAAATAACCAATTATATTTATTATGTATAATATAATAACTTGTCATTTTGTCATTGAAATATAAATAATAAATTTCATATAAATAAGTACACTAATATTCCACGCTAATTAATTAATTAATTATATAACTAGTACATTCATCATAATAATTATTTTTAATTGATGTAAAAAATTTTGTTGATTTAAGTAATTAATTTGGAAACTAAAAAACAAATATTGAGAATGCTATATTTTTTTAATTGCATTTAAAAACAATTGTTGATACTCATTGTTTACAGTTTCATAGTAATAATAACTAACGATATAACTTGACTTAAAAAAAAAAAAAAAACATCATTGCTGGTTTGAAATTTTTCAAAACAAAAAAACAATTAGGAAACAAAATAAAAATATAACCTAACGTCGTTATTGGATTAAAACAAAATGTTATAGTTTGGAATTTTCTAAAGAAAATAAATAAAAAGGAAAAAAAATAAAAATAGTTGAGTTTATAGTGGAGGTTAATTTTATCAAAAAATATTTCAATAGTCAATTTTATGGAATTCATTTACAAATTTAATTAATTTTTATAGAATTTGAGTTAGACATACCTAATTCCATAGAATTCAATTCGTAAAATTCAAATCTGTATTTTTTTTATTCAAAACACAAGATTTTAGATTTCCAAATGAATTCCAAGAATTCCAAACGGGCTCTTCATGGTAATTTCTCCAAATAGTAAGAAGTAATTTCAGTCAAATCTTTGCGAATTTATTTATATGATTATAATTTGTCTTTTTTTTTTTTTTTTTTTTTTTTTTTTTTTTTTTGTTTTTTTTTTTGTATTTAAGCAAAAGATTTATAAATATCTCATACTAGATTATGTTTGTCTTGTACATGAGCTCAGCGGCCCTAACGAGCAACATTTTATATGAAAGGATCATTTTTTCCTCGCTAGGGCGGCTGAGTTCGTGCACGAGATATTTACAAGTCTTTTGCTTAATTACAAATTGCAAATAAAAATAAAGTAAGAAAAATTTTCAAAAAAAAAAAAAAAAAGAAAAAAAAAGTAAAATCACAATGTATTAAAATGATCAAATATTTAGTCATACATAGATATCAATTAGTTGTATCCGCCTGTAGATTTAAAATAGTTCGTGTTGTCTTAAACCTTAATACAGACTGTAACTTGGGACAATGACCCATTAGAGGTTTGGTAATGTTTGTCGCCTATTATTATTTGCCACTTCTCTGCTTATAAATTCACTGAAAAAATTACTGAACAAACAGCTTAATACACAGCCATGGCAAGAATTTGTAGTTCATATTTTGTTTCATCAGTTATTTTTAGTTTTGCATTAGGTTTGGTTAGTGTGTGCATGGGCATGGAAAGTTCAGTTCCACCAGTTTTTATATTTGGTGATTCAACCACAGACGTTGGTACTAATAATTACTTGCCAGTGGAAAGAGCTAGAGCTGATTTTCCATTTAATGGAATTGACTATCGTGATGCTAAACCAACTGGAAGGTTTAGCAATGGCTACAACATTGCTGATACTATTGGTATATATATATATATATATATATTATAATATATATATATATATATATATATATATATATATATATATGCTTAATTTCTTTTATGTCATACTCTTATGAAATGGCCATCCCGAACTTGGATTATTGTTTCATTTAGGTTTCTAATACATTATTTGTGAAATTGATTCAGCAAGGTTAATTGGTCACAAAAGAAGTCCACCACCGTTTATAGCTCTGTTGCAGAAGGGAGTAAAGCCATATTTCAAACGCAATGTACTTAGGGGTGCCAACTTTGCCTCTGGAGGTGCTGGACTTCTTGACTTCACCGGAAGGCAATTTGTAATCTCTACGTACCCTTTCACTTTCCTTCCACGTAATTATATTTTCCATTTTCAATTACTTAATTTTCTCAAACCTAGTTAAAACCTCTTTGTTTGAAACTATATGATGAAATGATAGGGGAAGGTGGTAACCATGAGAGAACAGGTAGAGCAATTCGCGATTGTCTGCAACAATATCACACAAGTCATGGGTCAATCTGCAGAGAAAGTTATTTCCAATTCTCTAATTTTTATCAGCATAGGAAGCAATGATATCTTCGACTATTTATTATTCAACGAGACCTATGACATGGATTACTTCATAACTACTGTTATGCAGAGTTACCAGACTCATTTAACGGTATGTACTGTCAGCTAATAATCATACTAACTCGGTTTTATTAATTTTAATACTTTCGACTTTTGATCATAAGAATTAAGAAAATGAATGAAGTATCCCAATAATAAAAAATAAATAAATAAATTTCTGGTAATAGTTCTTCTTCTATTTTTTCCAATTGCAGAATCTACTAACTCTTGGGGCCAAAAGATTTGGTATAATAGGTGTTTCACCGATTGGGTGCATTCCACGATATAGGGTCATGAATCCAAGAGGTGAATGCGTTGAAGAGCTCAACCTATATGCAAAATTGTTCTCAAAAAAGTTAGAAAATGTACTGCAAAAGTTGAGCATAGAGTTTAAAGAGATGAAATACTCATATGGAAATTCATATTTAGCGACTGCGGATATCATTGGAAATCATTTTGCATATGGTAAGCAAAAATATTACTCCCGCTTTCCTATAAATTGTGTTCTAATCTGTCTTGCATACAGATTAAGAAAATTTAATTCATTGCAGCAAAAATGCTAAATTGAAATCACATTTAAAATCAAACGAAACAATGTCTGATATATATCTCCCTTTGCTGCAATAGGTTTCAAGGATGCCATATCAGCTTGTTGTGGATATGGACTTATTGGAGCATAATCACCATGTCTACCAAATGTCACCGTATGCGACAACCGGAATGACTACTTCTGGTGGGATCGGTACCATCCAAGTGAAGCTGGTTGTGAAGTGCTAGCCCTAACCCTCTACGGTGGCTCAAAGCAATACGTTAAGCCTATTAATTTCAGTCGATTGGTTGATGATGATGCTATATGATATATATGTGATATTGTTTCCTTCCAATCTTAATTGCTTTTGAATAACGAATTTATATTAGCCATGACTTGTGTGAACACTTATATACACACAAGTTCTGCAAATCCCAACTTCAAGTGTTGAAAAATAAATTGCTTTCCTTCCAATTGTTTCTGATTATAGTAATTAGATCTATATATAGTTGATAACAGTGGCGGATCTAGAAATTTTTTTTCCAGGTCAATATATAATTTTTTGAAAAAAGAGGGATAAAAAACATAAAAAAAATTAAATTTTATAGATTAATTTAGACAAATATATATTAGAAAATTCCAAAAAGCACTACAAAAAAAACGCCATTTTGCGACCGACAAATCGGTCGCAAAATGGCCAATATCGGTCGCTAATTTCATGTAGCGACCGATTTGCGACCGAAAAATGGCAATATCGGTCGCTAAAATTTCATGTAGCGACCGATTTGCGACCGACAATTGTCGGTCGCAAAAATACCTGGTCCGCAAATAATTTTGCGAACCGATGACAGACAAATCGGTCGCAAATTAGAATACCGAATAAAATCGGGTCCGCAAAATTGAATAATCGGTCGCAAATTTTTGTCGTGGTTTTAATGGAAATTCAAGTTCCGCAAATTTGGTCCGCAGAATAATCCGTCGCAATTGTTTTTAAATCGGTCGCAATAATAAATTCATAATTTTTACTTTTGGTATCAAATCGGTCGCAAAAAATGAAAAAAAAATTAAATATTATTTTGAAAAACCAAATATTCTGCACCTGTGAAAGTTGAAATAAATCATATATATTCACACAAACCTATTCAAGACAGTATAAATTGTAACTTTTATTGTTCTGAACAAATTAAAATATGAAAATGACAAATGAAAAAATAAAAGTCCCAAAAATCAATCTATATTATGCTGCTGCTCATCTGCAGGATCCGATGTCGGATCTCCGAATATCGATCGCCGGGAGGAAGTACCTCTGGATGTGATGTAGCGCCAGGAGGGGGACCAAGGTATCGTCTGCAGCATCGGGATCAGGAGCCGATAGTGGCTGCTGCTGAGACGTCGAAACATGTCGGTCTGTAGCAGGCGTAGGATCAGAGGGAGAAGTACCAGCACGGTGCTCACCGGACAGCCGTATCACATGCGCTCTAAGCTCTGCAATCTGTCTCTGCTGATCAGCAAGCTGAGCCCGTATATCATCATCACAGTACGAGTCACTGTGCTCCGGCTGTAGAAGCGTGAGCTGCTGAGCCAATGTAAAACTGTGATGCCTGAGACCCGATGCCGTATACCTTCCTCTTCTTCTCTCCCCCTACAGCCTCGAGATAAAGCGCTACCCTTCTTCTCGCCCCCTACAGTCCTCGAGATAAAGCGCTACCTCGTCAATCTTGAACTCAGCTTCGGATTCATCGGTCCTGAGAAGTAACAATACGCTCCCGAGCTGTCGTATAGTTCTCCTGCAAAAAAAAATTAATTAATCAATGCAATTGCAAGCTTTTAATCAACTTTGTACATCTTTGCAATGATTTAGAGGGAAATGTAAATATTATTCATTTGTTACTCCATACTTGACGCTCAGCGCAGCGTGCTGTCGACAAAGGTTATTACGATCCGTGGTCCTTCGTGTGAGATATGTAAACACCTCCATCGGTGTGGGCTCACGACCTAATTCTTTAGCCTGTAATGAATTTTTAATGCATGAATATATAATATATATAGTGTCCTGTCATTAAACATCAGTTTCTTGTAAAGGACTAGTTCACTTACTAAAATCGAGCGCTGTCTCTTATATGCAAGATATAGATGCCCTGTGGTGTCGGCGAAGGTCCCTGCTCCATCACCGCCAGTCTCTACTGCGCCTAGGTTTTGGTGCAAATATCTCCCGCTTCTCTGAGCAGGATCTCCAAGCCTGGATCCTCCCAAGCCTTTTGCCAGCTCTCCCATATCTCCTGAGACACGCACTGCTGCTTATTACCGCTTCTTCTCATCCTATAGGTGAAGTCAGCGTATTGATCGGTGCATATCTTCTCCCAGGCTACTTTCAGCATAGCCGTAATGGCCTCGTCCCATATGAAATGTTTCTGCTAAAAAATGAAATATAGCGTTTAAATACTAAGGATGTATCTTGAATTGTAAACATTGAATGATGATATAACTTAAACCAAAGAGTACCTGGAATTCCTCCCAATAAAAGTCTCTCACCTCTTGCGGTACGGCATCCCATGTGCATCCTTCTTTATGCAGCTGTAGCTTGATTATCTTCAAAATTTGCCTCGCTGCTCAAGAAGGTGGATATATGCTGAAAAAAAAACAGAAGTGAAATATAATTACACGAAAGCATCACAGTTACGAATAAGTACAAAATATAATTACAAAATATGCCTGCAGGCCTGCAGAAAATTTGAATAAGTACTTACTGTCCCGCTACCAAATTGAGGGTGATACTGATACGGTGGATCTGATGAAGCGCAAGAATGACAAGATGTTAATAAATTTTTTAGATAATTAAATATATAATTAAATGACAGTTATGACATTTATGAATTACCTTTGCACAGTAGGTGACTGTGCAGCTGGTGACGTCTTGTACTGGTCCAGAAGAGGAAGGAGCAAGAAGGCTGTGATGGCGGCAGTACTTGGACGCTCGAGCAAGAGGATGAAGCACCAGAACGTACCTAAGAAGGATGGTGATGGGCGGCAGTCACTAGTCGCTGAGCATATGAACGAAGCCCCAGACGTACCTGACGAAGGAACGAGGGATCGACCCTCCTCGTCCACGGGGCAGTGCGTCCAGGGCCATGACCTCCCACGCGAACCACTGGCGACAGCGTCAGAATCAAACCGGTCTGCCCTCAGCCATCTGTACTGCAGATAATCAGAACCTAGATTAAAATGAATTTATACAATTATATGAATTGTAGAACATTTGGATAAATATGAGTAAAGAAAGTTAATAACCATTGAATTCTTCATTAAATATTAATAATATTAATTACATATACATTTATCAATTTGTAACAGTAAAATTGCTCTAAGTTTTAAGTGTCTTGAATATCATCTGCTTCCTCCTCGTCTTCATCAGCTTCCTCTTCTTCATATTCATCTTCTGAGGTACCCATGATCTATTGATCTTCTTCCTCTTCATCATCTGATGGTCCTATTTAAACATAAGATCGGCTTTCATCATCTAATCTATCTGTTAAATCTTCAACAACTTGCATCAGTTGCGTTTCAACCCTAACTTCTGGAAATGCCTCCGATACTGCGAGTGAAGAAGATTGTTTCGTTTCAAGTGCATGAACAACTGATCTAGCCTTGATTTTACACACTCCATACACACTGCCATCCAATCGCATCTATCTCGTTTAAACGATGGATATGGGACATAGTACACTTGTGCAGCTTGCATTGCCAAAACAAAAGGTTCATACGTTGTATATCTTCTTCTTTGATTAATATCAACCAGATTATACTTAGGATGAACCTTCGTGCCAATGTTTGGCGTAGGATCAAACCATTCACATTCTAAATCATCCTGAAAACATGCACCTAATGTAAAGTTCAATTTGCAACACTTATAACTAACTACAAAACCTCAACCAATTTCCCATAAAAATCGTTTGACACGTCACTGTAATTTGATCCCTTTATGCAAACACTGCTGTTCATTGTCTTTTTGCTTCTCCCATAACCCTCAGTGTAAAAATTGTAACCATTTACAAAGTAGCCAGAGTAGGCATTAGCAACCGGTAAAAGTCCCTTTAATGAATCTGTTACCAATATCGATTCCCGAGCTTCGAGCCTATGGGAAATAGTAAAGGCAGGAGTGAGATTTAATAAATGTACATTCCATGTTGTGTACATTGAAAGTAACTTACATAATATTTGAACCGTTCTGCAAATTCGGAGTCCAACTTTGCATCAACTGCAGTATCAGTCAAATTGGGATTTTGAAGCCGCAAAAGATTGATATATTTCCTATTTATCAATGAACCAAATTAGCATAGAATATATTTCCTATTTAATCAAACGAACCATTATTAGCATAAGTAGCGGAATTAGGTCAACAAACGGCCTCCAACGTCAGTTTTGAATCTTTACATTATTTAAATACTTACTGTACATATGGTGTGATCTCTTCGCAATTCAAATAAAATATAGGTTTTGAGCCGCTTGTAATCTCTGCATCAAGTCAATCGTCTTTTTTTTTTTTGAATTATACCAATCGTAGCCCAGGGTAGGTGAAAGTTTTTTAGATTTCCCTTCAAACTCAGATTGAAACGCGATCTCCTCCGTCATCGTTTACGTGGCACTGTGGCACTCTCCGATGCTTGGTGTAAACATGTGGTTCGAAGTAGTGTTAACAGAAGGTGGAAGCTTGTTGCACCAAATATGCATTGCAAATTGATCCCTCAACCTTTGCCTTATTGCACACGTTCTTTTTAATTTTCTACAGGTGTCTGTAATTGCACAATAACAATATGTAAATATGAGTTGAAAAAACATTGTAATGATTAGAATGGGATGTTAATGGTTCGCCTCTCAAATGGATACATCCATCTATATTGTACCGGTCCTGCTATACGACATTCATAGGGCAATGAACCGGCAGATGCTCCATAGAATCAAAGAAGTCGGGCAAAAAAAATTTGCTCCAATTTGCATATTACTACTGGGATTTCTCGTGCTAATTGGTCCATATCATTGCATCGGATAACAGTCATCGTCAATTCCTTGAAAAGAGACTCAATTCTGTCATTTCTTCCCAAATTTTCCCTAGCAACAATTCCCGAAATTCCACAAAAATCAATCTTTGCATGAAAACATGACAGTCATGGCTTTTTATGCCAAACAATCTGTATTTCCTTATGTCAACACATCTACCCATATTTGAACAGTATCCATCTGGAAACCTCAATGATCGGACCCATTCACATAATACTTACCTTTGGGGTTTATCTAAAGAATA